CTTAGGATTTACTCACGATATTGACAGTTCAGATTAATGCAGGTTATGCCCTTGAAATTATTTCAATGCTGCTTGCTCTCTATAAATCGCACCAGGATGTGTGCTCATGTTTGAAAAGCACCGAGCTCATCGCAACGACACGAGCTCAAAATATATGCCAAGGTCCACCCAGCCCATCATCAACATGGGCAGCGGGGGTTGAGCTTTGGGAAGACTTGTGATTCACAGCAAGAAGGGCCTGGGTTCGATTCCCGACTTGGGCACCTTTCTGCGTGGCGTTTTTATGTTTCCCCCCGTCTATGTGCTGCATGGCTTTAGTCTGGCTGCTTTGCTAACCTGCCCCCCATAGCTAAAACATGCTCCGTGTAACTGGTATTGGCCAAACATCCCAATTGGGTTTAACACGTAGGCTTTCGCGACCAATATCATCCATGATAGAGGTTTTTGGGTTAGATCGCGTAAATATATAAATGTCGATTTAAAGCTTTCGTGACTGCAGGGATTCATATTCTTGGTTCTTTTGGTAAAGTCACGTAGAAGGGAAATAATAAAAATAAAACAATAAAATTCTCACGACGTTTCGATTGCAACACAAGCAATCATCATCAGGTGTGAACATTTTCCTGCTGTGTATTTCCCTTTTACTTGACTTTACCGAAAGAATCAAGAATATATATAAATGTGTTATCAAAACCTGCCACCACCCGACACAAGAAGGACAAGTTCAAAGGGCTCGCATAATGCGCATGCATCATGTGCGTTGCCTCATTAACCCCCTCTCCCCCCAACATTGTGCTAGAGCACAGAAGCGTGGTCAACACATCTACGCCTCTATATAAGGAACAAAACGTTAATAGGCTTCTCCACAAATCTGGCTGTCGCCTGATGAAGCTAGTTGTAATTACTGGCGAAACGTCGTACTCAGATTGTAAATGTTGTAGCTTGGCTCTCCAACACACCGGTGTGTTGTACTAGTGACGAATTGGCCACGTTCTGTTTACGTGACAACCCTTACTAGTTGGCTGTGTCGGGTGGTGGCGGGTTTTAACGACACAACATTTATATATTTATGCGATCTAACCCAAAAACTTCTTATGGATCCCAATTGGGATTATGCATAGCATCATTGGACCCCACTGCAAAAAACTTGGCAGGACCCTCCTGAAAACAAGTCTTGAGACTCGGTGAGGTTTTTCTGAGTGAATAAGCGGAATAATAATACTAATAGTCTAGCCAAGGTGTGTAAAATTAATACCACTTAGTCAGATTCCACCGCTCTGTGGGAATATGCCATCAATAGCTGTATGAGTAAAAGGTTGGGCTTGCCATGAGAATGGACTTTTTATAAGAACATGGGGACAATTTGAATTCCACTATATAACGATGTACCTATTTTGATTTAAAGCTTTCGTAACTACAGGGATTCATATTCTTGGTGCTTTCGGTAAAATCACGTAGAAGGGAAACAATAAAATAATACAAATATATTTATTATATAAAAAATATATTTATTTTTATTGTTTCCCTTCTGAACTGAGCTTCCATGGTGATGCGGTCGGCAACCAAAATAACAAGAGGCGGGCATTTTTTTCGAACTCTGTAAAAATACCCGCAATGTTTCATTGGCCGCAATTACCTCACCCTGCCTCTTTAAGGACTGCTGTCACGAAGCAATCCTTAAAGAGCCCCAGATTGCAGACCCCTGGTTTAGATGGACAGAAAATTACATTATTTTTCTTCGGTAATGCAGTGTACCTGATGACTGCGGTTAATGTTTTGCCGATGGTCAATCTCTCAAGTTGCGCTTGCCAACTTTTTTCTTTCGTCCGAACAATTGTTTTCACTCGCACGAAAACGCAGATCACATCGTGACGCCTGTTCCACAACATGTTCCATTGTTGGAACGGTTGGCACAATCAATCATATTTCCGATAACTGTAAAGAAACGATATCGCCCGAGTCATCCGGCGGCATTTATGCTGCCCCCCTCGGGTTGAGCTGCCGTGCGGCAGCTGCCTTGTGCTGCGTCGCTGATCCCAGTGACCTTTATTTGATCGTCCCCAGATTCTCGTGGGATTGTAGCTTTGGGAGGCATTGCACACACACACACAGTAATCTCTTATCGACGTCTATGCGGTGATGTAACTGTGGTCAAATCTTCACATTCCTTCCCCGTGGCCCTGTCCTCCCGTGAGCGATGGCAGTGAGCGTATCCCGTGGTTATTCCCCGCTGGAGACTTGTCCCATGAGCTACCTTGGTTGCTGGGGAAAAGCGCTGACAGTGATGGGGATGCGCTTACAGTGCTCTTGCCGAGGGTAGACGTGTGAGTAATTTTGTGACTCAACTGTGGAAGCGGGGGTGACTTTCTGGCCCAGGTTGGCATGCTTTAACTAAACGATTTTTCATCTGCACAACAGTTTTCAAGAGTGTACACAGCATAGTTAATTTTCTTTCTCCTATATCACCGCAAAAAGGAGTGCACCAATATATCGCTTATACGAGAGATACCTTATCAGTGGTGTTTAAAGAGTTCGTATTCTGGCGTATGGTGTGCCGTCTACACACACGGGCGATATTTTATTGCCCACGGTTCTCATGGGGAGCGAAGCTTTGGGGGGGGCACTACGCTGATATTTTATTGACGTCCACGCGACAATGTTACTGTGGTTCTTCATATTCCTTCCCCAGGTCTTGTACCACCCATTGAGCGATGTTATCAGTACGTCCCGTTGGTTACTTGCTGCCTTGGACGTGTCTCACGAGCGCCTTTGTTGTTTGGAAAAAGCACTGACAGAGGTGGCGGGAGGAGATGCTGCAAGCTGTACCCTTGCCAAGAGTAGACATTCAAATTCTCTGTTACCTAACTCTGGAATTGATGAGAGTCTGCGTAGGTGAGTGTATAATTTGTTCTAAAGGACTTATGGTCGAAACGTCGTGAGAATTTTTTATTGTTTTATATATATTTTGTTATTTTGTTGTTTCTCTTCAACGTGACTTTACCGAAAAAACTAAGAATATTTTAATGAAGGTTTTCAAAAATATTATATTTCAGGCTATCTTTCCTACAATAGTAATAATTTACAACATTTGCTCAAACGATGGCTGAGTGAAAGCACCCCACATCTCTAAAGAGTCAGTTTTATTGTATTGTTATATGAATTATTGCAATTATCAGTCAGGAATATCAAGAATTAAATCTTGACTTAAAGCTTTCGTGATTTCAGGAATTCATATTATTTGAGTCTTTCGGTAAAGCCACGTAGATAGAAAATTAATAATAATAAAATAAAAATATCACGACGTTTTGATCGCAACACAAGCAATCATCAGCAGCTCTCCCGTTATATTTTTTCACCTGATGACGATTGCTTGTGTTGCAATCGAAACGTCGTGATATTTTTATTTTTTTATTATTAATTTCTATCTACGTGGCTTTACCGAATGACCCAAAGAATATAACATCAATAATTGATTCCCCCTTACGTTTGCCCACTGACAAAGAAATGATCAGCTTATAATTTTAATGTTAGGTTTATTTGAACAGTGAGAGACAGAATAACAACAAAAAAATCCAGAAAAACGCATGTCGAAAATGTTATAAATTGATTTGCATTTTAATGAGGGAAATAAGTATTTGACCCCCTCTCAATCAGAAAGATTTCTGGCTCCCAGGTGTCTTTTATACAGGTAACGAGCTGAGATTAGGAATACACTCTTAAAGGGAGTGCTCCTAATCTCAGCTTGTTACCTGTATAAAAGACACCTGTCCACAGAAGCAATCAATCAATCAGATTCCACACTCTCCACCATGGCCAAGACCAAATAGCTCTCCAAGGATGTCAGGGACAAGATTGTAGACCTACACAAGGCTGGAATGGGCTACAAGACCATTGCCAAGCACCTTGGTGAGAAGGCGACAACAATTGGTGCGATTATTCGCAAATGGAAGAAACACAAAAGACCTGTCAATCTCCCTCGGCCTGGGGCTCAATGCAAGATCTCACCTCGTGGAGTTGCAATGATCATGAGAACGGTGAGGAATCAGCCCAGAACTACACGGGAGGATCTTGTTAATGATCTCAAGGCAGCTGGGACCATAGTCATCAAGAAAACAATTGGTAACACACTACGCCGTGAAGGACTGAAATCCTGCAGCACCCGCAAGGTCCCCCTGCTCAAGAAAGCACATATACATGCCCATCTGAAGCTTGCCAATGAACATCTGAATGATTCAGAGGACAACTGGATGAAAGTGTTGTGGTCAGATGAGACCAAAATGGAGCTATTTGGCATCAACTCAACTCGCCGTGTTTGGAGGTGGAGGAATGCTGCCTATGACCCCAAGAACACCATCCCCACCGTCAAACATGGAGGTGGAAACATTATGCTTTGGGGGTGTTTTTCTGCTAAGGGGACAGGAGAACTTCACCACATCAAAGGGACGATGGACGGGGCCATGTACCGTCAAATCTTGGGTGAGAACCTCCTTCCCTCAGCCAGGGCATTGAAAATGGGTCGTGGATGGGTATTCCAGCATGACAATGACCCAAAACACATGGCCAAGGCAACAAAGGAGTGGCTCAAGAAGAAGCACATTAAGGTCCTGGAGTGGCCTAACCAGTCTCCAGACCTTAATCCCATAGAAAATCTGTGGAGGGAGCTGAAGGTTCGAGTTGCCAAACGTCAGCCTCAAAACCTTAATGACTTGGAGAAGATCTGCAAAGAGGAGTGACACAAAATCCCTCCTGAGATGTGTGCAAACCTGGTGGCCAACTACAAGAAACGTCTGACCTCTGTGATTGCCAACAAGGGTTTTGCCACCAAGTACTAAGTCATGTTTTGCAGAGGGGTCAAATACTTATTTCCCTCATTAAAATGCAAATCAATTCATAACATTTTTGACATGCGTTTTTCTGGATTTTTTTGTTGTTATTCTGTCTCTCACTGTTCAAATAAACCTACCAGTAAAATTATAGACTGATCATTTCTTTGTTAGTGGGCAAACGTACAAAGTCAACAGGGGATCAAATACTTTTTCCCTCACTGTATGCCCTTGTAGGGTGTGTACAATCCGTGGTGGCTGCATAGTGTCCAGAGTTTCTGTTAACCAATCATAAACAACTTTTTTTATACAAACCACATAATTTGCAGAAATCTAAAATAAAAAAATATATATAACGTGAATGTTCGGATTTGTTTGCTGTGCGAATAAAGTCTGCTTGTATTTATCCAGTAAAGCCTAAGTCTCAATACTCTTATTCAAAGGGTCCTGTTATATTGGGATTTTAAACCAGTTTCATTGTAAGGCATGTTTTGTCTATATATATAATCCGTTGTCAATTCACTGCTGGATGAGGTACCTCCCCATAGCTTTCTCGTCATGGGGTTCTTTGACCACACTTCACCACTCTGGTGCATGCTGTTTGGTGAAGGTGAGCAAAGATGTGTGAGCATACAGTACAGGTTTCTCTCGCTTGATGTGGGTTCCGTTTGTGTGATTTTCACGTAAATGTGGCTATCATATTTCTACCCAAAAATCGCCATACGATGCGGTTTGAATTCACTAAGATGCAGCTATGCGGTAGGACGTGGGACAACATTGTGTGTGCGTGTGTGCGCGCTGTGTGCGCTCACTCGTCAGACAGCTGTCTCGTGCAGTTTCACTTTGAGCATCTACCGCACAAAGCGAGGGACACCCGTACAGAAATGGACTTTGCTGCACTTTCCTTCTGCCGCCCTCCACACAACCCCACGCAGCTCCAGAACTGAACATTATTATCCAGGCTCAGAACCACTTGGCTTCAGAGGTAATCTGGTCATGGGCAAGTACATGCTTAGACCTTTGTCAATCTGACACCCTGATGAGGGCCTCCCCTACACTGTGGAGGGAGTCGTGGGTAGTTAATTGAGCAAACTTCAAAATCGGAAATGAATCGTTCTTACACGCACCATTCGATGCATATATTGCGACTCTTTAAGAATCGATTTCAACCTACAAATAGTTACAAATCTCTTATCTTCCTGACGTTGCTGACGAAGGACTTTTACCGTGCAGGTGCTCATCTGTCGCAACTACCGCGGCGATGTGGAGATGTCGGAGATCGAGCACTTTCTGCCGGCGCTGATGGAGCGCGAGGAGGAGGGGATGGTGTCGCCGGTGCTGGCTCACGGGCCCGTACGCTTCCTGTGGATCAAGCACAACAACCTCTACCGTATCCTTTGCCCGTGTGCAGTGTCGAGGCGAGAGAAGAGAGCCAGCCACGTTAGCGCCGAGGGACGGCCGGGCGACTCGGGATGTAGAGCCGCTTGCCGTTCCAGCGCCTCTGAGATAACCGGGTGCAAATCCAAGCAGCCGCCGCCGCCTGTGGTTAAAACCGGGTTGTCGAAGTGTCGTGAGTTGATGGTCTTAGCCCATTCACCCGCGGATGGAGAGAAAAAAAAAACCCTCATCGCATAAAATTTAGTTCTGCGCTTCATTTGTCAAAAGATTTCAGCTCTGAGCTTTAAGAATATTGGTTTAACTGCCATGTGATGAACATTGCTGTCTGCGACGGGGTCGGTGGGTGTAAAAGTGTTGCCCTATGCTATGTGGAATAGAGGTCATTTTAAAGGATCCCAAGGTAAGTGATCTCAGAGGTAGCTCTCTGTCTGTGGGCCATTCTCTTAACACGACAGGTTACGGTGCTGTGCGAACGGTCCGAATGGATCGCTCTTCTCATGACAAGACTCCGTTTGTACGATTGTGATGACATGTCGTAACAAATGTTTGAATATTCCTGGTTCTTTCGGTAGAGTCACGTAGAAAGGGAAATAATAAAATAATACAAACGAAAACGATAAAATTCTCACGACGTTTCGATTGCAACACAAGCAATCATCAGGTGTGAAAACCACAGCAATGGATGGAGATGGATGATGATTGCTTGTGTTGCAATCGAAACGTCGTGAGAATTTAATTGCTTTTGTATTATTTTATTATTTCCCTTCTACGTGACTTTACCGAAAGAACCAAGAATATGAATCCCTGCAGTCACGAAAGCTTTACATCGAAATATTTCAATATGAAGGAACACAATTTCTCAGTGCAACGCTGATGGTGCATCTACTTATTTTCCCTATGCACATAGCCACATCGACATTCTTGGCTGCATTACTGAGACGTCATCCAAGATTAATATTTAGAGTTAAGGTGAAGTTGACTGTTGGATTGTTGCCATGCTAATGTCTGCTTATCCAAGAGTTATTAAATTTTGCATACCTTTGTTCGACATGCTGGCAGCTTTGCATCAACATGCTGGCAGCTTTACACATTGCGATGTGATATTAATTTATCATCAGCCGTGATCTATCCACTGCGGGGTTAAGCCCTCTGCAAGACGTCGTCATCTCTCATGGTCTTGCGATGCACAAATTCTGCACATGAGCCGATTTCATCATTCTGTCTCCATGGTGGACATATATCTGGGGCTTGTTGCCTTCTTTGGCTGCCACTCCATCATGAGTCTCTCCCACCGGACGTCGTCCCTTCTTCCGTGTCCTGTTCAAGCCCACTCCTGCTTGACAGTCATTACGATATTTATGCCACCTTTTTGCCAGTATTAAGTTGTTGAATGGTATAGACAAAAATGCTTTACCTTGTCTGACATAAATTCAGGCATAATGCAGGTATTTTGGGTTAGATCGCATAAATATATAAATGTTGTGTCGTTAAACCCGCCACCACCCCGACTCGGCCAACTAGTAAGGGTTGTCACGTAAACAGAACGTGGCCAATTCGTCACTAGTACAACACTAGTGTGTAGTGTAGTGTATAGTGTAGTATACTAGTACAGCACACCGGTGTGTTGGAGAGCCAAGCCACAACATTTACAAACTGAGTACAACGTTTCGCCAATAATTACAACTAGCTTCATGAGGCGACAGCCAGAAATACAGGTGTTTAGATGTTCAAAAGACAAATAGACACCTATTACAAGACATCAAGTCTGCATTAACCACACGTGGTAAAAATGCAAACAATTATGCATTGATAATCACACATTTGAAACCATCGAGTTTGCCAGCACGATAATGAGGTGTTGTCACGTGTTGTGTATTGTCGGAGGCCTCACGTTAGGGGCCGCACTAAAGGCCTCCAGGGGCTGGCAAGTGGCCCGTGAGCCTTTCAATAAAGAACACTCGCATAGCCGATGAAGATCATTCAGTTTTCAGTTTTATTTATTAGGTCCTAGCTTTACTACCCGGCTTCGCACGGGACTTGGATTCACCACGCCCGGCCGCCTTTGTCCCCCCAGTGGCAATGTTCACACACCACACTACCGCTCCCCCCCCCCACATACCCACACACACGCACTTGCTGCAGACACACAACTTTCAAGGTGCGTACGGCAGCAAACGACTGAAATAATAAAGCAATGCTGCGCAAAGAACGCCTTAGGCCTGCAACACATTTGTATGGCACTGTACCCGTGGGGGGTTGTGGGGGGGACATCAGCAGGCACACTCTGTTACGCTTCCACATACGGGTCACATGACAGATGTGACGTCAGCTCACTTGCCGCGCAAAAACATATGCATTATTGCGCCCACCGCCTGCCCACCAAAAAAAAAACACAAAAGTAAATTTTAATCATTTTTGCATGGTGTACAGTCTGGAAAGTTACCCACATGGCGAATGTCAAGTTTGTTGCATGTCGGGGAGTATGCTAAACATTTTGAACAGACACATTCACAAATTTCCCTTTTTTATATATATAGATAACCCTGTGAGCCATGCGGCTATTGACTCTGGTGCAACCACAACAAACAAAAACATGAACAAGATAATAATCACAAGTAGAGTAGAGAAGATAGGCATTGCTCTGTGTTGTCTGTGCTTTGGTGTCACCGCTTCCTTAACTGTGTTGGTCTTCCAGTTGTGGCCACTTCCAAGAAGAATGCCAACGTTGCCCTCGTCTTTGCCTTCCTTTACAAAATGGTCCAGGTGAGATTTGCCTGCCCTGCACCCAGCTTATCCGTACACTCATTCCTGTGCAGTCCCTTGTCCAGTTTGTGATTTGTTTGAAAATCCCTCGTCAGATTGTTACTGCTGTTGCTGCAACATTTACGCCGCACGCTCCAGATTAAGGGTTTCAAAATCATAATCTGTATTTGTCCTGGAGGAATCCGATGAGCTATGAAGCTCTTTTTCACTGGTTTTTGGGGGCTTCTGAGTAATTCGGCCTTCAATGTCGACACGATATGAGTGGAATACATTTTCAGGGGTTAAAGTTCTCGTGAGCTGTAAGGTGCAAAGTTACGTAACACATAAAACTTAAGTTTTCTCCATTGCCCATTCTCTTCCTCTGCCCTGCTGCTTCTTATCCCTCCCTTTTCCTCTCGTGCCCCCTAAGTTGCCCCTCTTTCGTGGTCACTCATTCCTCAACCCTTGCACATGTCTGCCATCTCAATCATTCTATTGCGTCACCATTTTTTTTTTTACAATGTTAAGCACCTTGAGTGAAGGCATGCTCGATTAATATAAAATAAGATGACACGATGATTATGTCAATTGCTGGGTGGTAAATCGTTGCATGGCACAAATTTTAATTGTGTAACTAGTGGCGGTTGAGCCTGCTTGCATATGCAGCGGCAAATTTTTTTGGACGACATTCTGCGCTGTGCGATTTTGTGTATCATTGAAATTCGAAAGTCTGTGTTATTTTGGCATGCTTTACTGTGACACGACGTGCACACGCGTAAAAATAAAACAGCCCATCAACTGTGCCAGGTTGCACCACAATCGCCATTACGACTGCTCCATTCGTTTGAATCCATCCTGACGATGACACTTCGTCTCAATTAATGGTTACTTTTATTAAATATTCATTTTAAAAATGTGTTTAAACGTTATCATATTGTGCGGTATGAAAACGGCAACAGTGTTATTACAAGACATCTATCGGTAATGACAATATCTATTGAGGTCATTCATTACATTCTTATAAATTTGACCTGTAAAAGCAAGTTCATGGGACTGATACGAGGTGACGTGAGTGTGTGGTGTTGGCCCAGATTCCTGACCACCTCATCAGGCAAGTCCTCTGTTGCCCACTTGGCCACTCCAACCCTGGCACACCACCTCCCCCCACCCAGTCATACGCGCTCCGCCTGTCTGAATGGGCACATGAAGAGACGGGTTGCCAGCTTACCTGGATAAACAACAGCTTACCTGGTTACACAACAATCTTTGGCTCTTTCGGTAAAGTCAAAAAATAATAAAAATAAAACAAACGACTAATGTAGCCACCAGGCTACAGTCCACATTATAGATTGCCGGTACACTCCGATTAAGAACCAGGCTACAGTCTACATTAGTGTTTTTATTTTATTATTTGTTTCCACTTTATTATTTATTCTTTTTTAATTCTGTCTACTTAACTTTACCGAAAGAACCAAAGAATATGAATTCCTGCAGTCACTAAAGTTTTAAGTCAAGGTTATACAACAACTTACTTGGTTAAACGCCTTTTGTTCTGCTACTTCCACCGCACTGCTGTGACCTTGGAATTCCCTCCCTTTGTCACTCTTCTCAACTCTCAATACCTCTCTCAGTTCAAGAAACGTATTAACTCTTTTCAACGGTTGCAATTTTGACATTGCCAACTTGTGCTTGATTTTTCGAAAAGGCTGCATAATGATTGTAAAATTGTCCACGAAAACCTACATGTTCTTGATAGTTTTGACTGTTGCTCGCTGCTTGATGATTTGGCTCTTTGGGCTTCTGCTCAGTAACTGTTGGGAGGGGGAAATGTTAACTACCTCGCTTGGTATGCAGGAGGTCGTGTGTTCGATCCCGACACTGACGCCTGCTGCTGCTGTATATTTGGAGTGTGCATGTCTCCCCCCGTGGTCGCGTGAATTTTTCTCCGGGTCCTCTGCGTTTTCCCTTCCACATTTCAAAACGTGCATTTCGAGTATTTGGCCGCAATATATTTCAACGCGATAAGCCACTTCGTGGAGCTATCCATTTGTGGCCAGGTTGCTTCTGAAAAAGAGCTACGTAACTCGGTGGGCTTGACCTGGTAAAATACAAAATAGTTTAGTTTAACGTTGTAAAGTTAAACAAAACTTTTCTCTCGTCGGGGGGGGGGGGATCATGTCTCCACTCCCAGGTCTTCTGTGAGTACTTCAAGGAGTTGGAAGAGGAGAGCATTAGGGACAACTTTGTCATCATCTACGAGCTCATGGACGAGGTCATGGACTTCGGTTTCCCCCAGACGACCGACAGCAGGATCCTGCAAGAGTGAGTTTACACATGGGGGTCTCTCCCTGGCGTGGAATTATTTAACGAGGCTGGCGTTTGAGGCCGGTGCAGAATTTGTTTCTCCCCTCTGGGTTTTCCGTATTTGCCGTCCGTGTAACGATGCATTGATCCGTCAATTTAAAATCAATTCCACTTACGATTGATGCAGTGTAAGAATCCATTTTTTTTATTTGAATATGAAATATCAAATTTAATTGGCTTGTACACAGGTGCAAGATGGCAATGGAGGCTTTCATCCAGCAGTGCATTGACAAAGTGATGAAAATTCTAATTAGCAGGGGGCTACTGTTTGTAAGATTATGTAACATTGTATTTCACCAGTGCCCTGCTTCGTGTGCTTGGGCAATTATTTTTAGTTTTTTTGCAAGCATACCAGAGTGCTCTAGGATACCACTCAAACCTTCTCTCTGCCGGTGAACAACAATTCATGCTCATGTAATATTAATTTAACTGAAAACACCAAGGGAGACCACTACAGTGCTTTCTAAAGCCTCTCTGTTGGTGTATTTGTGTGCATAGTGGACTGGGGTGGTGGTGGTGGTGGTAGTGTAGCAGTTAGCACGCTGTGCTACGAGCCCAGTGACCCGGGTTCGATTCCCGCTCGCGGCCAACAACGGTGACGCTTATTTTAACCGGTCCTGGGCCTCCCTTAGGTCGACTCGGCCTAAACTGAGTACCTGGTGCGGTGTGTAAACATCGCCACTAAGGAGACAAGGGCAGCTGGGCATGATGTTGGTCAACCCCCTCGTGCGCCAAGCCGGCCTTCATAGATGCTCGCTAACAAGACTTGCCCCAACGTTCTGTTAAGGCTATAAGGGGGATATTTGTTTTATAGTGGACTGCTGCGATTCACCAGCGCTTGCATACACACACAAGAGCCAAGTGTGTGTATATGTTTGATATTGTGAGTTTCTCCCATATACCTTGTAGTCTCACTCTCATAATAACAACAGTAATCACCTTTTAGCCATGATTTATCCACTGCCGGATGACGACCTCTCATCTCTTACAGTCCTGAAGAAAGCGAGCTTTTAATACGTAAATAGATTAATAGATATTCTTGGTTCTTTCGGTAAAGTCACGTAGAAGGGAAACAATAAAATAATAAAAAATATAAAACAATACAATTCTCACGACGTTTCGACTGCAACACAAGCAATCATCATCAGGTGTGAAAACCACAGCAAGGAAATTGCTACGTGACTTTACCGAAAGAACAAAGAATATGAATCCCTGCAGTCACGAAAGCTTTAAATCAAAGATTAATGTTTGCCTCCCGTTCTTGGCTCGTAGTCGATAGCAGCATAGTTTGGCTCAATTTCTTATAAATGAAGCTAGACACAGTTGGTTGTAGTTGTAAAAACAATGGCAGCAGGCGAGTTAAAAGAAGAAGTTGTGGCTGATTGGGTTTTTGCGCGCGTGCACGCGTGTGGCGTTGACGTAACTTCCTGAAAAGAATTCCACTGTGCCGGGTTCAACTTCGTTTCATGATCACTGCTGATAACACTGCACTGCCTCCGAGGTCTCTGGGACTCCGCCCCTCTATCGCTGTGATTGGTCCACATCTGGCTCATTGGCACGCGCCTTATTGCCCGTGATTGACAGGTACATCACTCAGGAGGGGCACAAGCTGGAGGTCGGGGCCCCGCAGCTCCCCGCGACCGTCACTAATGCGGTGTCGTGGCGGTCGGAGGGGATCAAGTACCGCAAGAACGAGGTCTTCCTGGACGTCATCGAGTCCGTTAATCTGCTGGTGAGGCGGCGGCGGCGGCGGCGGCGGCGCCGCCATCGACGATGTTTGGCAAAGTGGGGGATGTCGCTGCAACCGGTTGCGAGTGGTTGTGTAACCATTTGCTTGCGGTAGAGACTGTGTGCTTTCAAGCGTCTGCTCGGCGATTTCTAGCGACGTTATTGCATCGCGTGCTGCACGTTGCCAAACATTAATTGATTCTGAATACGCCGATTACATTTTTTTTTGTTGCACAATGGCTCGATTAGACGAAGTGAGAGCCGAGGAGTGGAACGGCACAAGAAGTCGCACCGTGTGCAGTTGCTCGATGGATTTTTACGTCGCAAGATTGCGAGAGATGGCAGCGGTTCGGGAAGAACTTTCATCCATCATTGAATTGACACGTGACTGCTGCTGGTGAGGATGACGACGACGATGCGGTGTTGTGACGTTAATAACGGGATGGCTTGGTTTTTGTGCGAGCAGGTGAGCGCCAACGGTAATGTGCTGCGGAGCGAGATCGTGGGCTGCATCAAGATGCGCGTGTTCCTGTCGGGCATGCCCGAGCTGCGTCTGGGACTCAATGACAAAGTCCTCTTTGAAAATACCGGACGTAAGTGGCTTTGTGTGACCCGACTCGTAGTCAACATTAGGTTTTTAATTTGTGCTGTTCATTGTTATTAATCGGTGGTTCTTAACACTTACTGCAGCCTTGCACCGCTTTGCTTCTCCGTCATTAAAACATTTGTAATGTTAATGAATACATAGGTGTGATGAAACCAAAGTAGTTGTATTAATTTGTTATGTCTCGCTCACCGGTAAGTTGAGAAAATCTCACGAACCAATTGAGCACTTGGACGCAGCGTTTCGCTTGAAACTACGTCAAACCGTCATCCAGGAAGTCGGAATAAAACCCGGGGAGTGAAATTTTACTTCCTCGATAAGATTCGGAATGTCAGAGGCTGAAACGAAAGTTAAGTGGCGTTTAAACCTCTTGAATGCGCGAGAGTTTCTGTTCCCCGGGAAGCTCCCGGTGCATGGAGCGAAACGTCAATCCAACCGGGCTGACTGTACGGGCTCACACGCACCGTGTTCCGCCACCACACTGCAGGCTACAGCAACGCTTCTGCTTTTAAATTTCGATTTAAAGCTTTCGTGACTGCAATGATTCATCTTCTTTGGTTCTTTCGGTAAAGTCACCACGTAGAATGAGAATAAAATAATAAATTGATAAAATAAAATAACACAATAATATTCTCGCGACGTCTCGGCCACAACACAAGCGGCCTTCATCAGGTGAAGGGACGAGACTGTCTGGTAGGACAGCGCTGGACTGAAAGAGCCACGTTCATCTGAACGTGGCTCTTTCACTTCTGCTTCTTCCCTTGCACCGGGAATTCCCTCCCACTGCCTCCTTTTCCCAAGCCTCGTAATAACCTCGCTCGTTAAAACAAAACAAAAAACGTACACGGGCTCTTACGCGTTACGCACTTTGATCGTGCTGTTGTTGGCCTCTTGACGGTTTGGGCCTTTGGGCCTGTGCTCAGCGACCGCTTGCAAACATACATTTAAAAAAATAAAAACATTCGGCTGACACAGCTGTGATCGAACTGGCAATGTTTTTTTTTTAATCGGCATCGCCGAGTGCTGTGTTGGTCGCCTCGCAAATATGTTTTATTCAGGAGCAGTGGAATGCTCGCTTGCCTCGGCTTGTTAGCGCGACGCTTGCACGCCGCGGTGAATCCCGATGGGGGAGCCCTGCTCACCTCTATTCACAAGTTGCGAATGTTCCCCACAAACCCGTGTGAGCACGCACTCTGTTTCGGGCTTCGGCCCACGGGAATTTCTTTTGCCCGCGCCCCGTGCTGGGTTCTTGTCGTAATAAATGAAGCAAACAAAAAACGTTTCACACGTAGACTTTCGCGACCGATGTTATCCATAAGAGGGTTTTTTTGGGTTCGATCGCGTGGCTATACATGTGGTGTTAAGCCCGCCGCCGCCCGACACGGCCTCTTATTAAGGCTTGTCACGTAAACAAAACGTTACAAGTTCAGCACACCGGTGTGTTGGAGAGTGAACCCACAACATTTCCAATTGGAGTACGACGTTTTTTTCCCGGTAATTACAAGCAGCCTCATCAGGCGACAGCCAGCGTTGTTTAAAATAAAATAAAATTGTTGTTGATTGTCGCTAGGAATTCGGCAGCACGAGCGGCGTTGATCACGTGAACGTCGAATTGCGGATTCGTTTTCGTTCGATGAATTGGTGCTTCATTACCGCACCCCAGTGGCATTAACGGTTGGGGGGGGAGAGGGGTTGGTGTCCTCATACCCGTACTCGTCGCTGCCCGCAGGGGGTAAGAGCAAGTCGGTGGAGCTGGAGGACGTGAAGTTCCACCAGTGCGTTCGGTTGTCACGCTTTGAGAATGACCGCACCATCTCCTTCATCCCTCCCGACGGCGAGTTCGAGCTCATGAGCTACCGCCTCAACACGCACGTGAGTCCGGAACCTTTGTATACCCACACACACACGCGCGCGCACAGAGTAAGCCCTCGTTTAACAAGGGAGATACGTTCCTGAAAAGTGCCGTGTGTAAAAAAAGTAAAGTTTGGCAAGATGCGATGTACGCACACCGTGAGATTGCGGGGGCAAATATTTTTGAAGGTATGCCCTCGCGCTACTGTATCGTTCCACGTCCTGTATCGTAGCACTCGTCCGCGCAGCTTTAGAAAGCAGTTCGTCAACCGCTCGGGAATCTGTGTTGTAACGGTTGCGCGTTCAACATTTAAATGGGCGCGTTCCGCGTAGCATGACAAGCGTTGGAAGAACTGCGTTATAGCGGAAATGTGTTGCGAGGCTTTACCGTATATGTATACAGGGCAGTCGCCGCAGTCCCTCGGCATTAAAAAAATAAATGACGTGCCTCTATTCCAGGGGTGTTCAAACTTTTCTTCCCCGAGGGCCACATACAGAAAAATGTACGAAAGACTGGGCCACTCACTAGACGTGAGGTGTTACTGCCTCACTTCTTATGCACTAATGTTGGCAAAATCAATCAAATGCAGGTAAATTACGTTTGATAATTGAACATGTTTGAAGAAAAAAAGCCTCCATCATAGCTCTCCATTAGTAGATTTTCATTTTATTTTTTACAAAAAGGTTGGCAGGTCATTCTCTCAGTGACAGCCTCAGATTGGTTCTTAGGGTGCTGATCCCCCTTCATTGTCCTGTATGAAGGGAGAGACAAGAAGAGAAATAGGGGATGTAGATATTTCAAGCTTATTACACAAATAAATTATTGGGCTTGTTAACACATCAACTAACGTTTGTTAAAAAATTGTCATCAACTTTCATTGACTGAATTCATTAAGTAATTGGGCTTATTAACAAATGAAAACTGTGTGTATATTTTTAACTTACCTGTAATGGGAAGAATTTTGCACTCAGTGGGAGCAGTGATGCTGCGCTTTGGTCTGAAGGATAGCTGGCAGGGCAGAAGTTAGTTTGGTGGTTGAGATGCAAAGGACGTCACGGAGATGGCTGTCGGTCGTTCTGGTTCTCAGCCTGCTTTTGTTCAGCGTTAACAGAGAGAATGTCTGCTCACAGATGTATGTTGAGCCGAACAGACTCATCATTCGTTTTGCGTGGCGTCTCATCAGAGGAAACTTGGCCTTTTCAAAGCTCCGGTAGAAGTCAGGTAGGGAGAGAAGCTAATGCTGATTCTTCAGAGAATCATCACACTGAATTTCGATCAGTTCTAATTGCAGACCCTCCTCCACTTCTTTTGCATCCATTGAAAACGGAGCCGCAAACAGTGTGATCTCCTTCTCAATGACAGAAAAATCTTGGAAGCGCTGACTGAATTCTGTCATGAGAGATGTGGTCACAGAGACATATTCTCCCATTTTTGCAGAGAGCTTGGCATTTGGAAATGCGCATTTCATTTCGGTCAGCGTGGGGAAGTGCGCTACATTGAAGTTGCGCAGTTGTGACTCGAAGAGACGGAGCTTCGCACGGAATGCTTTCATGTGCGCATACAGCTGTGGTACCAGCTGCTCCTTTGCCTTGTAGTCTCTTGTTCAGGGTGTTGAGATGATCAGTGAGATCAACTAAAAAAGCCAGGTCTGCCAACCATAAAGGGTCACTGATCTCATGGAGAGGTCTGCCCTTTTCTTTCAAAAACTTGTCGATTTTTGATCTCGGGGAATAAAACCGCTGCAGCACGGAGCCGCGACTGAGCCAGCGCACTTCAGAATGGTAGAGTAGGTCCCCCCCATATTCAACATCGACATCAGAGGGGAACGCTTGAAATTCTCTGTGGTAAAGCCCTCGTACCCGAATTATGTTGACAGTTTTCACAACTGTGTTCATCACATCGCCAAGCTGGATTATCTTGGTACAGAGGGCTTATTGGTGGATGACACAGTGCATTTTGACAGCCTCACCTCCGCTCTCCCGCACCTTGGCACTCACCATAGAGGCAGTTCCTTTGCGCTCGCCTGTCATTGCTGGAGCCCCATCCGTTATAATACCACACAGCTTGTCCCATTTAAGTCCAGCCTGGTCAATTGCATCTGACACAGCTTCAAACATGTCCTTCCCAGTTGTCCCCTTTAGACTCCGAAGATCAAGCAGCTCCTCCGTAATGCAAAAATTATCAACTCCCTGCAAAAAATTTACAGCTGTGCAGTGTCCGTGGCATCTGTGCTCTCATCACATGCAATCGAGTAAAAATCGAAAGCACAAGCTTTATCTGACACTTGCTGTTTTAAGTTAGCCAACAAGTCTTCAATTCGCCGCACAACCGTATTTCTGGACACAGTAACATCGTTGAAATCCTGCATTTTCTCCGGGCACATTATTCTCACGATTTCAGTGAGGCACTGTTTGATGAAGTCACCGTCTGAGAAAGGTTTCCCGTGTAGGGCAATGAGTTGAGCTACTTCATAACTGGCTATTGTTGCATTTTCTTGAGCTTTGTTAGCACGGAAAAAAAAACTGCTGCTGCATTAGCAGGCTAGCTGCCATTTGCTTTACCTTCTCTATCCGCTCGGCGCCAGTGTAGGACGTGAAGGTCTGATGTTTCGTTTCATAATGCCGTCGTACATTGTACTCTTTCATCACGGCAACACTCTCATTACAAATCAGACAAACACACTTCCCCTTGGTTTCTATGAAAAAATATTAATTTTTCCACCGAGTCTGAAATTTTCTGCACTCGCTTGCAATCTTGCGTCTCTTCGGTTCCGGCATTTCTGGTGACCCTGAGCAAATTTTTTCTTCGATTGCTTGCTTTGTGGAGACGCTGCCTTGTTCAAGACAATAGCGCCGCCCAGTGTTTAAACTAAGAAGTGCAACACAGTGGGCCATAGTCCATTATATTTTTAGACTTTGATACGGGCCAATTAAAAATGGATGGCGGGCCGCAGTTGGCCCGCGGGCCGTAGTTTGGACACCCCTGGTCTATTCGAATCGCTCCATGTGTTACCCCCCATCCTCGGCGTGCAGTTAACGCGTCCTTCCCTCCATTATAAACTCGTGAATGTCTGCCATGTTGAAACCTCACCTGGAAATGCAGTGGATAAAACGAATATTTCATGCAAAGGGACTTTGTGGCCACTCTGTACGCGTAAGACATATACACCATAGTTCCCCACATTTCCATGCGGCCATGAACAAGCAGCACCATTAAAGTTGCAACGGAGAATAATACATTCGACTTGCACAGTGCTCTTCATCCATGGATCACAGAACGCTGTGCAACATCAGAGTTAACACGTGTGTGGGAATGAGCAAGGTTTTATCAGAACTTGTGGGGGAATGTAGACGATGAAAGTGAATGCCACAGTGGAGCATCGTGAGAGAAGAAGCAGCGGTGAGTGTGACGTGTGTGTATGTTGAACTTCCTTCGCACCGTGCGTAGCCAACCGTGCTAATCGCACGTGCGGGTATGTATTTATGTTGAGCTTCTGTCGCACCGTAACTGTGCTAATCGGAGGTGCGCGGGGGATGGGGGGGGGAGGAAGGACAACAAACTAAACACAATAAGCAGTTCTAAAGAAGTACTTTTTTTTAAATCTAGGTTTGAAAATGCATCGCAGAGTGTGTGGTGGCTGAAACACCGTGTGGAATGACAGGAAACCGTCGGTGTCTGGTCGAGAGCCGAGCCCTCGACATGCATGGCTGGAGGAATCGATGAGTGGACGTTCACAGGAACGGGAACCGTGGTCGTGGCCGTTAGAGCAGGTGTATGTGTGTGGGGGGTAGAGGGAATATTTGAATAACCAAGGGGCCACACTGCACTTCACCGTGCAGCGCACCGCCGTGTTTTTGCCGGTAGCAACGCGTGTTGTTTGGCATGTTGGACGTCCGATGTTTCGCTCCATATGTGCTGGGAGCTTCTGCAGGAATGGAATTCAACAGCCCACTTTCTCTCATCTTACTTTTTTGTTACATTTTTTATCAACGTCCGTTTCAGGTGAAACCGCTCATCTGGATAGAGTCCGTGATTGAGAAACACTCCCACAGTCGCGTGGAGATCATGATCAAGGTACGCCGGTTGCTACCCCACTGTACCCACCCCCTCCCCCCCATTTTGCAGGGAGGGATTCCCAAAGCTAGCAGCAGAGAACGCTAATAATTATAATCGTAAGGGTAAGGGTTTTGAAATTACTTGAAATGGCTTACTTTACACTACTGCTGGCAGGAGAGGCCTCCACTCTCAAGAGAGAGCTGTAGAGAATACGTACACCGAGGGTGCTGATTAAAGGTGGACTCCGATAAAAATTATGAAATGAAATGCATCAAGTCGATCATGAAAGGCATTGAACCAATGCGCCTCGAGAAAATTGTTTTTGAACCCTTTTCCATTCCGAGACGACTGCAAGGTGCAAGGTGGGGTCCCGTTCACCGCTGAATCTTGGAAACGCGCAAGCGGTAGTGCCGTTGTTTTTAAATGCGCCGTACTCACCGCAGAGAACTGCAGCGACACGACTGCACTCTATGATAGCTGGCGCCAAACTGTGCCACGCAGCGTCGGAATATTTATACTGGAGCTACCTGATGAGCTACGAAGCTTTTTTTTATCACAGATGTCCAGTAGGCACCCTCACCGCATGGCCTCATGGGAGCCTCGATATCAATAAAGTATTTTTTCGATAACCTACACGTATCTCATGGGAATGGGGAAATGGGTCAATCAACGCTTTGACCGCTGTGCTAGCGGCCAATGATTGACAAGGGCTGCCTTTTGCTGGCTCCGCTTGCGCAGGCCAAGAGCCAGTTCAAGCGGCGCTCGACGGCGAGCAACGTGGAGATCCAGATCCCCGTGCCCAACGACGCAGATTCGCCCAAGTTCAAGACCAGCGTGGGGACCATCAAGTGGGTCCCTGAGACCAGCTCCATCCTCTGGTCTGTCAAGTCCTTCCCGGTACGACGCGAGCAACCGCCTCTTTGAGTCGGTGCAACGTGGATTTGCACGCGCGTCTCGAGCGTGCGTCGGGAGATGAGCAGTGGTGGATGTTTGAACCGGTCCAGGGGGCGGGGGAGGGGGGTGGTGGGTGGGGGGGGGTGGTGGGCGGGGGGGGGTGGTGGGCGGGGGGGGGGGGAGTGGTGGGCGGGGGGGGGGGGAGTGGTGGGCGGGGGGGTGGTGGGCGGGGCTGCGCCTCTCCGAGGTGGACTCGGCATTAAATGAGTACCTTGTGTGGTGTGTCAGCATCGGCGGCCGGGCATGGTGTTAGCTACCCGCCCCTTGTGTGCTGTGCCAGCCTTAATGGGTGCTCGCTAACAGCACTTGCTATGATGTTCTGTAAAGAGTGGCATTATATGCCGGGTGGATAAAATACAGAAAGTTAGCACAATAGGGTGGCACATGGCCCCCCCCGAGTCTGTCCCAAGCCCTCCTGCAAGCGAGTCCTCGACACATCGCATGGCCTCAAAGTGCACCTTAGCCTGGCACAAGCGCTATGGTAACAATACTGCCACTTTGTGGCGAATAGCGGCTTGTTGTGTCTGTGTATTGTGTTAGCGTTCCTGGTGTTGTGGTGCTTTGTTGTCAGCAGAGGGCAGTGCAACAAAATCCATTGGAATTTACCAATGCTTCACCGCCCAATGTTCGCTGCCTTTACCAACCTATACTGACCAGCGTGCTGGAGTTAGGTCAAGGGACCTCCGTGATCTGCACAGCATGGGAAGGCCGTCTTCATTCAGCAGTGGATTGACTATAAAGGCCGTTGATGTTAGTGGCGCGCGAGTGTGAATTGTAGTGTCCTAGCGGTTTGAGTGTGTGTGTGTGTGAAGAGTGGCGTGTTGGTGCGAGAGTGTGGTAGTAATATTATAGAGGGGTGTGTGTGTGTTTGTGAGGAGGGGTGGAATGGGTGTGTGTGTGTGTGTCTGTCTGCCTCAGTGGCCCGTGATCACAAATCTCTATTTAACTCCATCAAAAAAGTAACCTGCAGCGCCACACCTATTACCATCATTAGGGAAAAAAACGGTGATCCAATCTCCGACCCCCAGGAACAGGTTCGCAGATTTGCTGAGCATTTCTGTGAGGTCCTGGGGGAGGGAAAATCCCTCAGCCAGGAAAACATTGTGGCACAAAGTGAGGATGACCCTGCTGAGGCTGCGGTGCCTCAAATATTGGAAGAAGTCACCCCCTGTGAGTGGCTGGCTGAGGTGCCATCTGCTGAGGAAGTATTGAAGGCGATCCGGAGTCTGAGACCAGGAAAGGCAGCGGGCAGAGATGATCTCCCAAGCGAAATGCTGAGGGAGGGTGGCGTTTGTGCACAGACTGCCCTATATGACATCATAACAACAGTCTGGACCACTGGACGGGTTCCGCAGGATTGGAAGGATGCCCTGGTGGTCCCCCTTTTTAAGAAGGGGGACCGCACAGACTGTAACAACTACAGGGGCATCTCACTCCTCAGTGTGCCGGGAAAGGTCCTGGCAAGGATTATTCAGCATCGCCTTGCCAGGCACGCTGAGGAGAGGCTTGCGGAGCCCCAATGCGGTTTCAGGAAAGGGCGGTCCTGCACAGATGCCATATTTTCTGTCCGTCTGCTACAGCAGAGGTGTAGGGAATTCCAACAAGACCTACATCTCTGCTTTATTGACCTGGTCAAGGCCTATGATACCATCAGTAGGCCTGGGCTCTGGGTCGTTCTTCGTGCTTTTGGAGTACCTGACCCTCTGCTCACGATCATTAAGGACCTTCATGATGGTGAGCGGGCCCAGGTAAAACTACGTGGCCGGGAGTCAGAGCCATTCCCTGTACACCTTGGGGTGCGACAGGGATGTCCTCTGGCTCCCACATTATTTAACATCTATTTTGACCACGTAGTTCGTGAAGCCTTCAATAGCTGTACCGGGGGAATCTCCATATGGTACAGATATAATGGGAGGCTAATCGATGCCCGGGTGCGGTCAAGGGATGGCTCCCTATTGCTCAACCACGTTATGTATGCTGATGATTTGGTAATAGCTGCTCAGTCAGAGGAGGAGTTGGAGACGCTGCTGCTGAGACTGGAGCGTGCCACTAAGAGGTGGGGCCTTACCATCAGCCCCACCAAAACTAAGCACCTGCCTGGGTATTTTGTACCATCGGACACTCCACCCCCACAACTCCCAATCGGTGATGGGGCAGTTGTGGAGAGAGTGGAGAGTTTCCCATACCTGGGCAGTGTGCTTATGAATGGCTCCAGTTTAACAGCAGAGGTCTCACTCCGAATCAGTCGAGCGGCAATATCTTTTCATCGGTTGCGTAACGCTGTGTGGAAGCTACCTGGTCTGTCGCTCCGCACTAAGCTTCAGGTCTTCTCGGCCACGGTCATTCCCTCCCTTCTCTACGCTTGCGAAACGTGGACCCCCCTAATGGAACATCTTCGCCGGTTAGAAACATTTAGGCTGGCCTGCCTACGATCCATCCTGGGTTTAACCAGACTGGATTGTGTGAGGAGCTCACAAATCCTTGAAAGATCTGGGCAGGGTCCCATCGGTGAGCTCCTCCGGCAGGCAAGGCTGCAATGGCTGGGTCATGTAGCCCGCATGCCCAGCCACCGCATGCCGAAACAGCTTTTGTTTGGCCGGATTGAGGGGGCTAAGCGGGCGCGGCACGGGCTAGAGAAGAGATGGAGTGATGTGGTACAGGAGGACGTGGAGCTGAGTGGACTTGCCGATGACTGGTACCAGCGGTGTCAAGATCGGCCTCTGTGGAGGAGGCTCGTGAAGGATGCTACTGGGCAGTTGGAGGCAGTCGCCCTCCAACAACAACGGAGGGCGGAGGAGCGACGCTCAGAACAACGAGCGGAGCGCCGGGTGGCTAAAGCACAGCAGGTTGGCACAGTAGGGGGCACAGGTGGTGCATCAGCCAGTCATCTCAGTCAGTCGACCCGTGGCACCTGGGTCTGCCCCGTGACCGCCTGCCAGCGGGCGTTCGACACTTCACGTGGCCTCAGGGTGCACATAGCCTGGCACAAGCGTCGTGGTGACGTCACCGCCACTTAGTGGCGAATGGCGGTTGTTGTTGTTGTCTGTGGTAAAATCAGCTCATGGGGATGGGGGTTGTGTGGTGAACAGTGGCACACTGCTGTGCGACCAGTGGTTTTGTGTAACCCTGGTGATGTTTGTGTGGGGAGTGGTGACTCGGCGATGCGCGTGTGTCTGCCTTCTTGGTGGGGTCACCACCCCTACATGTGCCATGCCTGTCTAAAATAGATTGCTGCGGTGGCAAGACGTTAGCTGCCTCGGCTGGTATAGAGGAGGTCGTGCATTCGATCTAGAACCTTACGCCTGGTAAATTTGGAGTTTGCATGTTCTCCCCGCGGTCGCGTGGATTTTACTCCCGAGTCCTCCGGTTTCCCCCCCCCCCCCCCCCCCACGTTTAGAAACGTGCGTTTAGAGTATTTGGCCGCTATAAATTTCCACGTGATAAGCCACATCATTTAGCCAGCAATTGTGATGGCCAGGTCGCTTCTGAAAAAAGAGCTGTATAGCTCAGTGGGTCTTACCTGGTAAAAATAAAAAATAGTTTTAAAAAGTTTTCGTTTCAGGCGCTCGCAAATGACGCTTTGCTCCGATATCCTGCGAGATTTTGCGTGCGTGCGTGCATTACATCTATCAGGGCGGCAAGGAGTTCCTGATGCGTGCTCACTTCGGCCTTCCGAGCGTTGAGAGCGAGGTGCAGGAGGGGAAGCCGCCCATCACGGTCAAGTTCGAGATCCCATACTTCACCACGTCGGGCATACAGGTACAGCCCCTCTGTCCAGCGGGGGTTATTCCGCAGTGTTGTGCGTCTACCATAGGACCGTGACGATCGGTCGATTTGGCTGCGTAGGTTTTCACGCTCGTGAATGTGTACAGCTCTCGGGAACGCTTGAAGAAGCTCCCCCCAGCGAGTGGAGCGGAAACGCCGAAACTTATCGGTCGATTTAGTCGACCGATGTCTGTAATCAATTGCCCTATTTTTGTGGTTTGGTACTCGGGGGCAGGGGGGGCCCTATAAAAATGATGGCAATCCCGACATGTCACCTCCTGAAGGTGGGAAGCCCCCTAAAAGCGTAACGATGCGGGATGGAAACAGCCGCACGGTGCAACAGCCATGGTCTCTGCTGCTGGATGAATGCCTCCCCCAGCCATCGTGTGATCTCTCATGTTCTCCACGACGCGACAATCCGTCAAGCTCCTGCGCAAAAGCTGCTTTCATCTCTCAATCTGTCCTCGGTTAACGTCCTGTCTGGCCTGTTCTCCCCTTTGACCATCAAAGACTTTACCACCGGCCCATTGTCCCTCCCTAACCATGACGTGTTCTATCCAAGCCCACTTACTTTTCTTTACATTCAACGTGACGTTGTCTAATGCACGTCTTCCTGTCTGTCTCTCAGTAATTCCAAGCACACACCCTTCCCGTTACTTCATTATGCAATGTGCGGGTGTTTTTCTTCAATTTTCTGCGACCCGTGTACAATATTTCAGATTCCTGTTATCCGCTGCCCTCAGTAGTAGGGGTTTCACGAACAGGACTCGCCTCAACAGTCTACTGTGCTGAATCGTTCTTTTTAGTTTGTTGTTGTTGTTGTTGTTGTTTGTGCGCATCCCCAGGTGCGATACTTGAAGATCATCGAAAAGAGTGGGTACCAGGCCCTGCCGTGGGTGCGCTACATCACGCAAAACGGAGGTGAGAGAGCCACTTGCCCTGAAGCAGCCCCGGAATGATTATAATCACGTTACAATTTACTCCATCGGGATAGCACGGTTGGCTGTGTACGGTGCAAAATAAGTTCAACGTACGTACACACACACACACAGCAATTATTGCACTGGCAGGCTGAATGCCCACTTGCAGGCCGGTGTTGGGTCACAATGGCACAGAAAAGCGACGGCTGTCACTGGGGAGGGGGGGAGGGGGGTAACCCCTTCGAATGTTTGGAGATGAGATGTGACGTTCAGGCGTTTTGATTTGTCGAGGCATTTACACAATGCCCATCATAAATATAACTATTGTTATCGTCTTACAATGTTAGAAAAAGGTTTGCAGGCTGGATTTCTGGCTTGCGTGATGATGACGGCACCCGCTTCCCACTGGCATTGAGCCAGGTTCGTAAGCGCTGACGTCACGCTTCTCCCTCCCCTTGACCAGGTCAGCCTCCAACCTCGGTCGTGTATCCCAAACAAATGGGATTCACTGTCATGCTCTCACATTATATTCGACAAAAAGTTTTTGCTGGCTGGCCGGGTAGTTAGCTGGAGGGTGCGTCAAGTGGGAGGGAGTAGGACACGCGAGCTGCTAGTATACCATTACTAATAGCATACCGCTGAAATCTGTTGGCAATCGTTATTTCTTTACTGCGGGTAAACCACGTGACGTCATGTATTACGTGAACGGACAGCGTTGTGCCTCGTGGGTTTTGTTGCATTGTTGCGTCTTAACGTTCCTGCATGTGGCCGCTGATCTGTACATCTTGTTTGCAGCTCTCTCTCTCTCCCTCTCGTGTGTGTTGCTTTCATCCCACTAATCTTCGGTGGGCACCTCCTGACTATAATCTGCTTATTTGGGCCGTTGGCTGGCACGCAGCGTGGCACTGGCCTCCGCGAGGGATCCGAACGGAGGCCTCGCCTCACGGCGTGACGCCGATGGCACAATCGGAATCAAATTGGGCAAAGTGAATTTTTTTTTACTTGTTTTTGCTGCGTTTAAGCCCAGCAAAATAGGGCCGTTTCTCGACAACAATTTCTAACCATGGCATGCATCTGAAAATAAGTGTTTTCCCAAACGGAGCAAATAAAAAAAAATATCCAGTAACGGTTTTAGTTTGTTTTGGGCGTGGCGTACATGTACACAAGTAGCATGCGTTTTAGAGTACGCCAGGGTTTCCCAGAACACTTGTAACTCACACCACCCTTCAAAGCCCGTTGCCTCTCTGGAGATTCCCCATGCCATGTTATTTTTAATTCGCCGCTCGCTCCGGCTGCAACGTGAGGCCCCCCTTGACGACCCTTAACGGGCCTCTATAAGACGACCCCTCCGGTATTCATGACACCATGGTTTGGGAAACCCTGCCATAAGCTGCACAGTAGCTGACTTGCAGATGTCACTTGGTAAACATCACCTCTTCTCACTCTTGTCGGCTCTCCGTGCTCCTCTTCACTGTCACTCTCCTCACCCCTCTCGCTCTATTCCCCTCCGCGTGCTTTCTCCGCTCCGGCAACCACGGCTTTCTGTTGATGCCTCCTCCGGTCGACCTTCGCTCTGTGGGGAGGTCGCTCATTCACCTCTGCTGCTCCCCAGAACCTGAAACTCTATTCTCCCGACCATCCTTGCTGCTTGACTCCCTGCTCCCAAGTCTAGGTTCAAGAACTCCCTTTTTTTCCCCTCTGCCTATGAGTGACTGCCTCTCTCTACAAAATGAATACGCTCACGCGTTTCTGTACAGCGTCTGGAGATGCGCTTTCATTTATTGACTCTGCTCATCGAATTTGTATTTTACTGCATCCTTCCACATTGTCACTGTTGCACCAGACTACCAGCTCCGGACCAACTGAGGCGCCGGAGTTCCCGGTTACGCTGGCTCCCGTTTGCGACGCCGATAACGGAGGGTGCTGTGAGACGCGCCTCCTACGTCGGTGCTCGGTCGGTGGCGACGGCACACCGGTCCTTCCACTCCCCAGCACCAGCTACTCCCCTCCGCCTCACCGCTTTTCCAAATCGCCCGTCCATCCGTCCGTCCGTCAACTCGTCAGCTCCCGCGCCCCGGGGGCTGCTGTAACGGTCCCAGTCCCCCCGTGCCGCTTGCTTGCCACCGTGTGGCTCCCTGCGGATGCTTCTCGTCTGCCGGGGATGAGCGAGGCAAAGCTGCTCCTGTGCCCCCCCCCCCTCCGCCCCCATCGTCCCGTTCCTCTCCCGCACTTCATTACAAATTCCGGTACTGCCAAGAGTTCAGAGGTCACGTTCCGATGGCGGTCGTCGTAGCCCCGTCGGTCGAGTCCCCCGAAGGTCGGAGTTGCCAGACAAAACCCCGCCTCCCTCTCCGTGCCGGGTCTCGTTTAAGGCGCCGTACTTGCCCCCGAAATGTATTGCCGGACGTGTTGACCTACTGCCTCTGTGGGATGCCGGCCACCGTGGTTTTGCGCCGCAGGGAGACAACCGGATCTCGTCGATTGTCACCAGAAATGTGGAATCTTCACTCGACCAGCTTTGCGGCTGCCAATAGAGGTGTGAGCGCTGCCCAACAAAAAGGAATTTCTTTGTCTCTGTTTTCATGATGATGATGTTGTGGCTGTGCGAGACGGATCGGGGTTTATTGACACGGGCAGCCCGGGCTGGTCATGGGATCTCGAGTGGCACGGGGTAGCTTCCCAATCCAGGCGGTCAGCGTCTCGCCAAGACCACCTTTACTCCATGGGCCAGGCCAGAGCGGATTTGGGTACCAGTAGTGGTGGAAAATATTCGGTGATATCAAGATCGTTATACGATATAATAACAATTGATTGTGTAATAACGTCGTACTCGGTACACGGGGCTACTGCAACATTCACTCTTATTGGCCATTTAAAGATGTTGGTCCAACTCTAGCTTTGCCATCACAGATGACACCATTATTATAATTATCATTTCGTTTGTTTGCCCATGAAAGCCTCACCGAGTCTCAGGACGTTTATTTTTTTTCAAGAGGGTCCTTGACAAGGTTTCAAAGTTGGGGGCGACGCTGCTGCTGCTGCTGCTTTGTGTAGCCTCAATTGAGTAATTTATCAGCATTGCGATGTTTGGATGAAATCAGTTACACTGGATGTGTGTTTTTTTCATAGCTACGGGAACCTGGAGGAAACCCCATGCATAACAGGGGGAGTATATACAAAATAACTCCTAAAAACTCCACAAAGGTAGTCATCATCATCATCACCTGTGTCGAGAATCGAACCCAAGTTTTACCACTGCGAACCCAAGTCTTAACACTGTGCCACCCTACGAAACTTGTACGAACAGGTGAAATAACTTGTACGAACAGGTGAAATAACTTGTACGAACAGGTGAAATAACTTGTACGAACAGGTGAAATAACTTGTACGAACAGGTGAAATATTGGGTTTGGGCCCATGGACTACTTTTGCCCCCCCCCATCCCCCACGTCTTGCTGTGAAACTCACCTTGCCAATGAAGTGTGCGTGTGTGTAGTAACACAGTGGCCACCGATCTATGTGTGTGTGTGTGCGTGCGGGTGTGGGTCTCTGAGCCGCGGTCGACCTGCGCGTGCGTGTGAGTTGGTCATCGTTTTCCCCATTTAAGTGTTGTCCTTGTTGCAGTTGTTGAGTAAAAAGTGTAAAATGTTTGTAGCAGGCGGGTGTAGGGAAACCCCCCGATACCGCCAAGGAGTCAGTATTGTCGCGTAGAATTCGATTTTCGTTTTCGAGAGACCCGATTGCGGGTTTATCCCGCCGAGGGTTCGTCTGTTTATTTTTATTTTATTTAACTTTGTACGGAAAGCGAAGGCTTAACTTTTTACGCCGAGCTTCGGTCCCGTTGTCTGTCGTCTGGAGATGATGTTACATTTCGTACGGGCCGGTGAAAGTGTTTTTTTCGATTCGAGCGGCTCGCAACAGCGCGTGGAAGTACGCGCCGTTTTAACGAACTGCCGAAACAACATTGCCAGTCGATACCGCAGTAATGAACCTATCGGTTGAGCGCACAGCATTGTCTCTTCAACGAGGTGTCGGGCCAAACCTTTGAGCCATGCCGTTACAGCCTCGCGTGCCAGCTGTGGCGTGCCGTATGCTAAACCATTACGCGTTGCTCCTGCCGCATTAGAAGGGGTGGCTGTCTGCTCGTTTGCACAGCGACGACGGGGTGGAGGGTGGTATTTTTCCCGCGTGGTCCCTATCGATGTAATCTGACGGATTCTGACGCTCGCTACAACACGCATCGATCGTTTACAGTTCACGCAAATCGTTTTTTCGTCTTCTGTCACGGGGCTTAATGTCTTCTGAAATGTTTGCGTGACCCAGCCGCCGCAGCGATGCACATCATGCATGCGGCGTGCTCGATGCGGGAATATTTTCCGGGGTTCCCGACACCCTGGGCAGACCAGGCTGAAATTAAAAGCCCGTATGTGCTACCCATCACTCTTTGAGCGGGGGAGGGGTGGGGGATGTAGTCAAGAGAGAGCGCTGTACAAAAGAAATGCCGACAAACAAAAAACACAACACAAATGCTCATTTCCATCGTTGAAATGCAACGGCGTTGCTCATGAAACGGTCGCACCATTCACCAAGGGCTTCGCACAAAACATTGCGTGGTTTCGCGGCTCCTTTCAAGGGAAAACGATCGATAATCAAAACGGCTCCTGTCTTGCCGTTACACAACTTAGGTTTTGTGCCCTGGGTTGAGCGGCGTGCGTTTTGAAGCGGTGTTGAGAAAGTGTAATTTTACATGGCCTTAGATGAACATGTTCCGGTAACGCGTCTACGGCGGCGTATTTAACATGTGTGGAAATTACGCCACGCCAAGTCTTCTCTCTTACCGAGAATTTGGTGGTGTTTTGCCCGATCTCGTCAGATCTCGGAAGCTGAGCAGGGTTTGAGCCTGGATAGTGCTTTCGGGGGCGGATCACCACGCATAGTAGTGGGGAGCAACAAAATCCATTTGCTGTGCCATACTTCTATGCTCTCACACTTGTACTTCCCGCCTTCACCAACTCCGCTCTGGCCAGCGTGATGAAGTACGGTCAGGCAACAAACCCGTCCACGATCAACGTGGCGTGCCGGAGTGCGGGTGGACGAGTCCTTGAACCAAACAGTGGGTTGATTAAAAGAGGGGGGGGCCTTAAATGTGCGTGGAAGGGAAGACGCTCCGGTGCCAACAGCATTTGTGACGTACTAACAAGCGTTGGTGGGGGGGGGGGGGAGCGTTCCACCATCGTCTGTGTTTCTAGCTCTGGCGACGTGAAACAAATATATTTGTACTCGCCCATTTAACAAAGCTTCAGATTTACATCAAACAGCCGTACAACACTGCCTCTTTGTTTCTATTACGAGATGAAAAAAACAGGTTGTTGTTGTTGTCTTTCGCGACTTAAGGGCTGACCACGTGAGGCTGTGGGTGACGTTTTAACAACGTTCACGTGTGGAGAGACACCACAGGGCCCTTTATCCTTGATAATTGCCGCCCTAAAAACAAAAATAAGCCAAGGTCCGCTCTGGGGTTTCTGCGCTTTCTGTAAAAAAAACACAAGGCGAAGAGATTTCCATTCGGAACCCTCATAGAAAGCAGTGTGACGTCACCCCCCCCCCCCCCCGCCCTACGGAATGCATTGTGACGTCACCACCACCTTCCCCGTTAAAGAACGGCCACCGGAAGATGACATCACAGAACTGCTGCTGAGGGTCACTTCAATTGCATTTGCTTCTTAAACATATCAAGTTGTGCGCTCTCGGGATGCCCCTGCTGTGTAAGTGAACCGGACAATATAAAATCCCCGCCTATCTTTACCTACGTGGTCAATCGGGGATGATGAGGATGATGATGATGTCATATATGGCTTGACGCCTTGATTCCATCGGTTTTTAATTATTTACATTTCACCGGTAGGAGACGTCGCAGGAAGTGATGTCACTTGGCTCGATGCTCTGCTCATCTCACGAGAGATGCTTCGGGACGACGATCGGCGCGGCCCTTCCGTTTGACAACGGGGTGAAGGCTGCGGCTGTGATTCTGGCGTCGCGTTCGTACGAACGGCTTCGTGAACACCGGCTAAAGACAAATATCGTTTGCAATTTTTAATGTCTACATATTTGCGTTTTGGAGAAGATCTATTTATGTTACATCGCCGTTTACATGAGAAAATAAGTCGGTTTTAATAAACGGCTTTGACCAAACCGTTTTAAACAAAATAAGCCACCTCCATGCAACATTTTGAGAAATAATGATAACCGGGTTTATTTTAACTGGGTTTCTAAATCTACCCCCCCCCCCCCCCCCCACATCCGTCCATCCTGCAGGATGAGTGGGTGGCGCCGCAGTCGATCGGCAGCAGCAGGTCGTGTGTTGGTGGGCTAAAGTGTGGGTACTCCCACCTCTTCAAATGTGTCTGCCCAGCGTGGAAGAGTAGACCAGATACCCTCTATGGAAGGGCTTTACTTGAAGGCCCTCTCCGTGGTAGGCCCCGCAGGGAGTGGCACAGACGAGTAATGCCAGGGCTGCACCGTTACCGTTACACATCTGGGGTCCTGGACCGTGCCTGCTCGGGGCCACGTGTGTAGCTCCGCTGACGGTGGGACCCCAGGCCTGCACCATGCTTCTCTCTTACAAACTGAATGCATATTTGTTGTTGTTGTAACTCCGGCCGACGAAAGCATTTTCCCCAACCGGAAAGTCATTGACGCGCAGTGTTACCCGTTTCGTACCCGCAGGCGTGCAGTACTGAACAGGAGTACCGCAGAATAAATGTCTGGTTTTTTTTTGTTTTGGCCGCATTATTCTGTTGTTGTTGTTGCCGCTGTTACTGCTTGTCTCTCGCTTGGGGTTTTTTTTTTTGGGACATCCCCGACTCGGTGACTTTGACTGACTATTGACGAGGCTGACATTTCCTCGAAGACTCGAGCAGAACTTGAGATTTCGGGGCGATTTGTGACCGCTCTTTCTCTCTGCGGCGAGACCGGGGCGCGCGACTCGGATCGATGCGAGCGGTGACATTGTCCGCTAATTGGATTCCACCTCAAGGGGGTCATCCCGAAAGGTCAACCGTGCACAGCGTTCGTTTCCAACGCCTTGTCGGGAGACTTCCTCGCCTGGCTGTTTTGACCGCTGTAACCCGCCGCGCGTCTGCATCACTCGTCCGCCCTCGGCAATTGACCACCGTCGCACAGCGCAGTAATTGGACACGGTGTCACTGTCACTTCCCGTAGGCGTTTGCAAGTCTGGCATTTTCATGCGCAGTGATATGTATTGTTAATATCGCGTGCATTTGTTAAAACGAATTAAAAGCATTTCCCACCGCTCCCCCCACCCCCACGTTTTACAGCGGTTTTAATTTCATTCCTGTGCAGTAACCTACCTAGTCCTGGTTTGTATTTGCATATTGACTTTCACAAATCCGACCATGTCCGCACTCCCGCCTACACCCCGGCGAGATTAACCGTGTGTGATGTCGCTCGATGTCAAATTGTCACAATCGCACGCTGCACTCAAAAAGGTGTCACTAAAATCGTCGGTTTACTGGAGCATGCACGTAAACCAATTGTTTACTCCCGCTCGGAGGAAAGGAAAGATATCACCAACTGAAGTTCACTTGGCTTTAGAGATGTATCGTAGTGTAAAGTGATGGGTCTTGATTGTGCTGTTGGTGCATTTGAGGCAGCAAGTCATTGCGTGCGAACATCTGCGATGAATTGCAGGTCAACTAAAACAACACGCTTTTCACAGTAAGGATACATTCCAGCTGACTGGCTGCGATTATGCAAATAGGTTTGAGTAATCGGAAGGATTGTAAACGTGTGCAGATCAGCCAATTAGAGTATTTAATCTTCTTAACATAGTTTTTTTTTTATTCACAGCCATTCACTGATCTTCAATTTCCCTAAATTTCTCCACTTAATCCTCCATTTCGTGGATTATTCATTCCACGTTTTCTTTTCACGAGAGCAACCAACAAGCGTGGGCAAAGCATCGAGATCCAGTCCCAGGATACAGCGGCATCCATTCCACGTTTTACTTTGGTTGTGGACCACTGCTCATGCCATTTTCAGTATTGCCTGATACCTCAATGAAAGCTCCCACGGCCATGGGATCTGGTAAAAACGCAGAGCAGATGCCTCCAGCGGAGTAGACTCAGCCTGGACCGGACTCTGGGCTTAGTAATCTACAAACTCCATCCCAGGTGGTTTTTTGTTTTTCCGCATTGCACATGTCGATGTGAAGGGGAACATCAATTGGAATGTAGACACCATGTGTTTAATCGTACCGTCGTCGTAGTAATATTTACGCGGTTCTGGTTTCTTGTCGAGCCTGGTTGTGAGCGTAACTATTGGGATTTCAATGTTTTAAATTCCACCGTGAGCATCTGCTGGAGGAATGTGATGAAGTCGCTTCTGTCGACCTTTCAGTTAGTCACAGCGTAGTCTTTTGGGTTTAGGGACCGCGTGCTAAGCATGGCTTATACTTCTTAAGCGTTCGGCCACCACGCACTACCGCGCGCATCTCTGAGCTGGATCGAGGAATCTCACCTGGTCCTTGTGAGCTGGATTGAGGAATCTCACCTGGTCCTTGTGAGCTGGATTGAGGAAGCTCACCTCGTCCTTGTGAGCTGGATTGAGGAATCTCACCTGGTCCTTGTGAGCTGGATTGAGGAATCTCACTTCGTCCTTGTGAGCTGGATTGAGGAATCTCACCTCGTCCTTGTGAGCTGGATTGAGGAATCTCACCTGGTCCTTGTGAGCTGGATTGAGGAAGCTCACCTCGTCCTTGTGAGCTGGATTGAGGAATCTCACCTCGTCCTTGTGAGCTGGATTGAGGAATCTCACCTGGTCCTTGTGAGCTGGATTGAGGAATCTCACTTCGTCCTTGTGAGCTGGATTGAGGAATCTCACCTCGTCCTTGTGAGCTGGATTGAGGAATCTCACCTGGTCCTTGTGAGCTGGATTGAGGAAGCTCACCTGGTCCTTGTGAGCTGGATTGAGGAATCCCACCTGGTCCTTGTGAGCTGGATTGAGGAATCTCACCTGGTCCTTGTGAGCTGGATGAGGAACTTCACCTGGTCCTTGTGAGCTGGATTGAGGAATCTCACTTCGTCCTTGTGAGCTGGATTGAGGAATCTCACCTCGTCCTTGTGAGCTGGATTGAGGAATCTCACCTGGTCCTTGTGAGCTGGATTGAGGAAGCTCACCTGGTCCTTGTGAGCTGGATTGAGGAATCTCACCTGGTCCTTGTGAGCTGGATTGAGGAATCTCACCTGGTCCTTGTGAGCTGGATGAGGAACTTCACCTGGTCCTTGTGAGCTGGATTGAGGAATCTCACCTGGTCCTTGTGAGCTGGATTGAGGAATCTCACCTGGTCTTCGTGAGCTGGATTGAGGAATCTCACCTGGTCCTTGCGAGCTGGATTGAGGAATCTCACCTGGTCCTTGTGAGCTGGATGAGGAACTTCACCTGGTCCTTGAGGAATCTCACCTGATCTTCGTGAACTGGATTGAGGAACTTCACCTGGTCCTTGTGAGCTGGATTGAGGAATCTCACCTGGTCTTCGTGAACTGGATTGAGGAATCTCACCTGGTCCTTGTGAGCTGGATTGAGGAACTTCACCTGGTCCTTGTGAGCTGGATTGAGGAATCTCACCTGGTCCTTGTGGGCTGGATTGAGGAATCTCACCTGGTCTTCGTGAGCTGGATTGAGGAATCTCACCTGGTCCTTGTGGGCTGGATTGAGGAATCTCACCTGGTCTTCGTGAGCTGGATTGAGGAATTTCACCTGGTCTCCATCATCAGACGCCCGCAAGTAGTGCGTGGCTGCGAAATCCTCCGCGTGGAACCACCGGTTCCATTTACTCGTCACATTTCACCCGAGGTTTGGAAACCCACACGTGGAGTTCATTGCCTTCCTATTCCCCTCATTCCACTGCCACATTCCGAGCCGAGCCGGTGCAAGGAAACCCTCACGGTAGCGGTGGGGGTTTTGTTTTTCATCCACAGGCTATTCTCCAAGCGCAGCCAGAACCACAACCGTGATACGATGTTGTCACGAGACACGTGCGCGTCTGGCTCGGAACCAGCGGTGCGCCGAATGACGCGGTAATTGCGTGTGACGTCACTGGTGAGCGTCTCGCGTCGCCTCTCCAGCCTTCAACCCCTCCCGCACCTCGTCGACACTCGGCTCGGCTCGTTCGTGGCCGTGATAGGCCAGCAGCGCGTCACGGCTGTCGCCTGATGAGGCTGGTCGTAATCTCCGGTGAAACGTCACAGGACTCGGGATTGCAAAATGTGTGTGGGTTTACTCTCCCAAAACACAGCCAGTGTGCCGAAATAGTAACTAATTGGCCTACGTTTCGTTTGCGTGACGAACCTTACTAATTGGCTGCGTCGGGTGGTGGTGGTGAGTTTAACGACACATTATATTTACGCGATCTAACCCGAAAAAAAAATCATCCTCTTACGGCCACGGTTTTTTTCAGTGGGAAAACAACCGCGCCGGGGCTGGCTCGGCTCGGCACGGCCGCAAGCGTGGCTCGGTTGTGCAGTGGATTACGAGCGGACTGTGGAAAGCAAAAAAAAAACCTAGCGCGTGAAATTCCAGTGCCGGTTGATCAGCGTTTGTGTGCGTCACGCGCCACTGGGAAAACCTAAGATGCCTCTTCACACTCACGAGGCCCGATATAGATGCAGCTATGGCGAGACGTTAACTCCCCCTCCAGGTATACAGGAGGGTCGTGGGTTCGATCCCGACACTGACGCCTGCTGTGTATGTGGAGTTTGCGTGTCTCTCTCTCTCTCTCCCGACCGTGGTCGCGTGGATTTTTCTCCGGGTGCTCGGGGTTTTTCACTCCGCATTTAGGGAACACGCGTTTTGAGTAATTTGGCTGCTATACATTTCCACGTGATGATGATATAAGCCATCTCGTTGAGCTCTTACTTGTGGGCAGGCCACTTCTGACAAAGAGCGTATATAGCTAAGTGGCCCTTACCTTGATTTGAAGCTTTCGTGACTGCAGGAATCCATAGTCTTTGGTTCTTTCGGTAAAGTTCTACCTACGTGACTTTAACGAAAGAACCAAAAATTGTGGGCCTTACCTGTTTTAGATGTTGAAGAACTTTCCGTTTGTGTGGTTTTTGGCCAGAGTGTGCCGATGTAGCCATCAAACGTGTCACGTGCCATCGGTTGGTTCATTTAAAAATGCGCTCCGACACTCGTGGTAACGTCCTTGGAATCGTGCGCATAATGTTCCATCGATTGCGTTCGATGCCAATTGTTGCGTTCGTCACTTTCGACTGAGGTGAGCGAGGGGTGGGGGGCTGGGCGTGCAAGCGACACGTTCAAAGTAAAGCGCGTAAAACAACAAGCAATCTTGATTCTTGAATCGAGCCGCGAAATGAATTTGCGAAGAATTCAGCGAATCATCCGGGGGGGACGGGGAGGGTGGGAATCGATGACGTGGCTGCCAGCGTTCCACACAAAGTTTCAGCTCCGCAAAGTTATTTTACACTTGTGTGAGTAAAATGCATTTTCAGGGGGTTACCATTCAACATTCATTACTTCGAATCCTTTATGAACGCTTCACGATCCTTATTGGTCGATTCTGTTACACATTTACAAGACGCTCACTCATGGGTCCCCCGAAGATCACGGGGGCCACCACGAGTTTGCGCATGCGTCAGGGTTTTCGTTCTTTTAAATGCCATACATTTTGGAGACCCAAACCAGAGCAAAACATTTTTTTTTAAAGCACTTTGCAAATACGCAAACGGTCTTCGCTCACACAGCTACCACGTCAGCTTCCGTACCGCCGATTGAACGCGCTCCCCTCCTCTCTCTCCCTGAAACAAATGCACGTCGTAAGGTGGTACATAATTATACAATCCAATTACCGCATTAACCGCACAACGTGCGCGGCCATGCCTCCTGAAGCTGTGGAGCAAAATATCCGCGCATATTCGCACGTCATACATCATTTACGGGGGTGGGTGTACATCTATCTGTCGATGTTTGTTGAACTTCTTTCGCACCGGACGTAGCCAAGCGTGCTTAATCGGAGGCGCGGGAGGGGGTGGGAGGACAACATTAAACACGAAAAGCTGTTTTAAAGAAATTCGTTTTCAGTCTGGATAATTTAAAAGTGCGTAGCTCCCAGCGGCTTCGTAATATCGGAAGGAAGAGCGTTCCAGACGGCCGCAGAAGCGCATACAGCCTGGTATTGTGGTTCATTTGTGGCAATAACTTTGTGGGGGGGGGGGGGGGCGGGGGTGGTTTCTTTCGCACGGCTGGACTTGTAAACCAGAGATCGACGTTGTTTTATCTCCGGGCGGTGGCGGGTTTAACGACACATTTACGCGATGTATCGGTCGCGAAAAGCCCTACTACGTGTTAGACTGGCTTCTCACACATTGACCATACTTCACCACGCTGGTCAACGTGGGTTAGTGAAGGCGCAGGGGCCCCCGGGAGCATTGATGACCTCACCCCCACATGCACCAGCACCGACATACGACACGAACGGGCATATTGCGAGCGATTTTATTTTTGTTATTTCTCTCGTGTGTGCATTCATTGGCGACATCAATCCCACCGTTATCGACCGCGTACAGAGAGATTCTCGTACCGCCAAACATCTTCCCCTTGCAATGCGGTGCCACGTTTTCTGCTCTGACTCACAGAGGTGAGTGCTGGGTGGGGGGTAAATGTACACACACCACGCACAAACCCCCCCCCCCCACTTTGACCGGTGTTAAGTGTGAGTTTTTGGGTTATAAAAGCGACGTGGTGACGGCTGTTAAATACTCACAAATTCCCTCGCGGGAAAACCCCGGGCCCCATTTATCTTCTTCCTAAACCAACCCAAAAAAAATAATCCACGAACACCAAAGCCACGAGGCGGCTTCGCTCTTATCACGCGGCTGGTGGCAATGTGCGCTGTGCCCGATACGCGCTCGCTACGCACGGGGGGGAGGGAGCGGCGAATAAACAGTGCGGCGTTGTTGTTGTGATTGTTGTTGTCGTTGTGATTGTTGTTGTCGTTGTGATTGTTGTGACTGTTCTTGTTGTCGTTGTTCTTGTGATTGTTCTTGTCGTTGATGTATTGTGGCGAGTGGGGTTCGTGCGTTGGTGCCAATACAACGGGAGGAGTTCAAGACGTTTCATCCACCAACTATGGAAACGGATCGGCCTTACAGCAGCGGCACTCTCCATGGCCTCGTCTCACTGCCAGTGTCACGAGCAGAGAACAACGCCGACATGCGAACAGTACAAAGACAATGCACGTATCAGAGCATTTCTAGCTCGGGGTGAGCGATGCGAAGAAGACTGCACAGAGAGCATTTTACGTTCAACAGAAGTACCGCGTGTGGTTAATGCGGTAATTGATTCCTTGCAACAAAAAAAGGTATCATCTATTTGGTATTTGAACATCTTAACGCCTGCTGTTTTATTGCCAGAAAGGGTAAGACACCAATCTTGATTTGAACACCAATTCATATTTTTCATACGTTGACGCTGGCAAAAACGTTTTCGTGATGTGTGCGGTGGTGGTTCGCTGACTGCACTTACAACAACCACCCAACACCCGGCCGCCCTCCCGAGAGACCCGGGTTCGAGTCCTCTCCCATGCACAACGTCAGTGGCCGCGTCTGGGTCTTCCTCTAAGTTGACTCAGCCTTGAATAACCACTCAGGCTTGTACAAACACTAAACTATTATTGTACAAACACTAAACTATTATTTTACTAGGTAGGTCCTCTGAGGTATACGGCTGTTTTTCAGAAGCTACCTGGCCACAAGTGACAGCTCAACGAGATGGCTAATCGCGTGGATATTTATAGCAGCCAAAGACTCTAAACGCGTGTTTATAAATGTGGAGGGAAAAAGCGGAGGACCCGGAGAAAAAATACACTCGACCACGGGAAGAGAGAGAGACACGCTAACTCCAAATATACAACAGCAGGAGTCAGGGTCGAGATCGAACCCACGACCTCCTGTGTACCAGGCGAGGTAGTTAACATCTCCTAGCCACCGTGATGATGATGATGAGAGAGAGAGACACGAAAACTCCAAATATACAGCAGCAGGCGCCAGGGTCGGGATCGAACCCACGACCTCCTGTGTACCAGGCGAGGTAGTTAACATCTCCTAGCCACCGTGATGATGATGAGAGAGAGAGACACGCAAACTCCAAATATACAGCAGCAGGCGTCAGGGTCGAGATCGAACCCACGACGACCTCCTGTATACCAGGCGAGGTGGTCAACATCTCCTAGCCACTGTGTCGCCTACATAAACGGCACCGGCGGCAGGAACAGAGGTGTTTGGGTATTGTTGAACCGGCCACATCACTGCCATTGTATGCAGTGCTGGCCTTCACAAGGTGCTCGCTAACCACACTTGCCCCAGCAGTCTATGAGGCTGAATGAATTGATGGATATCTCGTCTTATGTGTGCATGGACACAGATCTGATATTCCACGACAGTATTCGCTACCTACTTCGGGTGACAACACCATTGTATAATAATGACATTCTTGGTCGTATAATTAATTAATTATACCAACACACGTTTGCCGTCACAGAACCCATGTCTGCCCTGGCCCATGCAGAGTGAGTGTGTTTTTGTGTGGATGTGTGTGGGGAGCGGTGGTGCAGCGGTTAGCGCTCCACCCCGCTACGAACCTGGCAGAGAGCCGAGTTCGATTCCCGCTCACGTCCAACACCGGTGACGATTATCTGAACTGGTTATGGGCCTCCTCCCGTAGGTCGACTAAGCCTAAAATGAGTACCTGGTGCGGTGTGTAAACATCGCCACTGGGGAGACAAAGGCTGTCGGGCGTGGTGCTGGCCACCCACCCCCTCGTGTGCCGTGCCGGCTTTCATAGGTGCTCGCTAACCAACACTTGCCCCAAACAGTCTGTCAAGGCCATACGGTGGATCTTTGTGCGTGTGGATGTGTGTTGGGGTGGGTGACGTGTGTGTGTGTGTGTTTCCCCCCCAAGCTATTTCAAACCTTTCACTCGTTCGCGTGTGGGACAGTTTGAATCACGATATCAGTGCTGATAAATCCGTTCGCTTTACGAAATAAACCGTCGTGTGAATCAACTTGCCCTTCCCTTTCCGTGTGTGTGTGTGTGTTCTTTTTTAACATCACTTTACATGTACAGTATATATATAAAAAATCTTGATATTGTTTCTGGTTCCTGAACCATATACCCGGTCGTTATCTTAATTTCGTTATTAAGTTTCGTGCGCGAAATAATAAAATAACATCGAAAGGCGCATGCTGGGGGACTTACACTCTGAAAGTTTGGCAGGCCCCTCCTGAAAGAGTCTTGGCAATCGGCGTGGCCCTCTCATGAGTAAACACACCTACTAAATAAAATAATAATGATCCATCGTGCTCTAGCCACTGCTGGACGAAGTAGGCCCCATGCTTATTTCTGATTGAGAAATGAGCAAGTACAACAAACCACACACACACACAAAACGGTTCTAAAGAAATTCCTTTTCAATTTAGACCATCGCTTCTTCACCTGGGGTGCACGCTGCACCCCCTGGGGTTGCGAGATGCACTCTCTGGGGGTGCGAGACGTGGCCAGATTTGTCTTTTTTGAAGGCAAATAATCGAAAACGCAAGTTAAGCACGGGCACGGAAGTCACAGCTACCTTGATCAAACCTCCGTATTTATTACCATTAACAGAATTATACGATTAAGAACAAACGGGGTGCATCACTGCAGTAAAGTTCAAGAACCACTGCTCTCGACGATTTAAAAGTGCACAGCTCCGAAGGCTTCCGAACAGAGGGGAAGAAAGAGATGGATGGGGGGAGGGAAAGTGAGAGATCAGCAGGCGACGGAACGCACCCATTGTGCGAGACCAGCACGTGAACAATCAAGAGAAGCGTGCGCAATTCTTCATCAATTATTGAGTTTTGGACTTGGCGAGTTGTTCCACCTGCTCGCAAATTGAATCGCGATCTTCAAGTCGTGCGTCAGGTTATTCGTTTAAGGCTGAGTCGACCTAGGGGAGGCCCGGGACCGGTTAAGAGATTATATCTCGCGCCCGCTGATGATAGCCGTGGACGGGAATGGAACTCGGTTGGCGGTAGAGGTTTTTTTTGTAGTTGAAGCTCGCTAACCATCGCGCCACCGCTCCCCACTCACAACAACAACAACAACGACAGCTGCCACGGAGTGACGGCGAAGTCACCGCAGCGCTTGTGCCAGGCTAGGTGCATTTCGAGGTCACGTACAAACATACAAAAGACAAGGGGGGGAGGGGAAATTACCCGTATAGCCTTTAACAGACTGTAGGGGAAAGTGCTGTTTGCGAGGTGTGGCCAGGACCACGCCCGGCCGCCTTTGTCTCCCCAGTGGCGATGTTTACTACACACCGCGTCGGGTGCTCATTTGAGGCTGAGTCGACCTAGGGGAGGCCCAGGATCCGTGCAGATATTCGTCACCGGCGTTGGCCGTGAGCGGGAATCGAACTCGGGTCACCGCGAGACGCCCCCCCCCCCACACACGAGCTGGTCTCTCATCAGCTCCAGCTCCACGTTGGTCGCCCGCTGTGGCCGTGTTTTCAGTGTAAGTGGTTTCCATGCTGCTGCTGCTGGTGGTGGTAATGACCGCAGGCTGCGCGATGTGCCATGTGGAACTCCCACCGCACCCCCATCAACCCCCCTCCTCCACCCCGCCCCCCTTCCACCTCCCCACCCTTTCCACCCCCCCCCCCCCACAAATGAAGCGAACTCCCCCCTCTCTCTACCCCACCCCCTCCACCTCCCCACCTTTCCACCCCACCACCCCCCCACAAATGAAGCGAACTCCCCCCCCCTCTCTCTACCCCTCCCCCTCCTCTTCCCCCTCCCCACCTTTCCACCCCACCCCCCCACAAATGAAGCGAACTCCCCCCCCTCTCTCTCTACCCCCCTCCCCCGCACGTCCAGATGGTGACGTCACACGCCCAGAGGCTCGATATAGGCTATGACGTCAGCACCCCAGCCGCTGAGACGAGGAGCGGCAGGGAGCGAGAGAGAGAGACGCAGAGAGAGAGACGCAGTGAAGACATCCATCCATTCATTCTTTCTTGCATTCCGTTGATTGTTCTGCAGCAGTAGCAGCAGCAGTAGCAGCAGCGTTTCCCATCGACAACAGCAACCGTCGTCAGCGTCGGCACTACCACCAGCGTCATTGGTGTTTGCAGGCAAGCGTCGCGGGCGAATCGCATTGTGATTTAAAACATTCTGACGAGGTTGTGTGTGTGTGTGGGCTGAGAGAGAGAGAGAACGGCGATGATGCGGTTATATTTTATTTAACAAAAATACATGACCACGCTAATGAGTGTTGGTGATGATGGATTATTACTGTTGTCATAATTGTGATCCAGAGGAATTGTTGTGGTGTGAATGTCTCGCTGCCGCTTTGTGCTGAAGTGTGTGTGTGGGGGGGGGGGGGTACAAGGAAGGAGAGGGGCGAGAGAGAGGGGGGGGGCTGGGGGGGGCTGGGGGGCCCTCGGACGCCCCGCAGAATGGGGTTAATTTTATTTGAACATATCACCACTATCATCTTGCATTGTTTAAATAATCGGTCGTGGTGGTTGGATGTAATGAGTGCAATTTGGATGTATACATTTAAAATAAATAAAAAACTCTTATGCCGAGATGAATATATTTGCAAAAGAGAGAACTATAGTGAATTCACTTTGTTCATACTGTACATTCTTTTCTTCAATCGTTCATTATTGTTATCATCATCATCAGCTGTGGTTGGGTTGTGAGCTGCGCCTTGTTGCAATGTTATATTTAAACCTTGGGCTGGGATAGAACTTCGGCAAAGAGAATAGAGCCAATTCGTTTTTCGATTCACCACCATCACCACCGCCATCATCATCATCATCGTCTTGTATTGTTTCTGCTGACCCCTCTGAGCGATATGAAATCGGATGTCTTTCCTAAAAATATATATTTTGCTAAGATATCCGTGCAAGCGAGAATAGTTTATTCCGCTATGCTCACAACATCACCATCGGAGCCGACCCCCGGCTACGGGGGTGACCGTCCCGGGCCCTGCACTTTGGGGGGGGGGGGTGGTGGTGGGCACACGGTGGGTGGTTTGCTCCGAGCCCCGCACCCGCCCGATATGGACTGCCCTCGCCACCACCATCATCACCAACCACCACCAACCACCATCCTCACCATCACCACCAACCACCATCCTCTGCATTGCTGGTATCGTTGCTCACGATTATCTCCGTGTGTAAAAGCGGTGGTCGGGTACCGAGGAGTGTGTGGGGGTGGCAGTGCACGTGGTGTGTAACACGCGTGCCTCTGCGCGAAGAAAAAACCTGGGGATCGATTCTCCAGTTTATTCTCCTGTTTATTCTCCAGTTTATTCTCCACACCACCCTCCACCTCTCCCTGCTCTGCGTGGGTTCCCTCCGGGTTCTCCGGTTCCGGTTTCCTCCTCCCATAGCTACATAAAACAACAACAATAAATACGTACAATGTGACACTGTGGTGTTGGCCAAGCATCCTCAATGTAGCAGGACCCTCCTGAAAAAGACTTGAGAGAGAGCTTGTGGCTTTCCTGGGTAACTAACGTGTACTATTTCTGAATGAGAATTTACTGTTATAAATTATTTATTATTCATCTTGGGTTGATGTTCGTTGGGGAGAGGCTGTGAATACAACACCATCACCTCCATCATCCTCTTCATCGACTCTCTATCGCTTCTCCTGATTAGGCTAAGTGATGTGGGGTTCGCGGGGTGCATATTTGACGTCGGTGTTTTACACCCTCGGTTGAGATAGGTGGACGATCGAGTCTTCGGTGTCATTAAGTTATTGTGCAAATGCGTCAACATCACCACCACCACTAACAACAACAACCGCCATTCGGCAATAAGTGGCGGTGACGTCACCGCGGCGCTCGTGCCAGGCTAGGTGCACCTTGAGGCCACGTGAAGTGTCGAACGCCCGCTGGCAGGAGGTCACGGGGCAGACTCGGCAGGTGCCACGGGTCGACTGAATGAGACGACTGGCCAATGCACCACCCGTGCCCCCTACTGCGTCACCACCATGCCATGATGATGGTCATGATTATTATTCATATTCTTAGCTCTTTCGGTAAAGTCACGTTGAAGGGAAACAATAAAATAATAAAATATATGAACAATTTTATAGTTTTAGATATATTTTATTATTTTATTGTTTCCCTTCAACGTGACTTTACCGAAAGAGCTAAGAATATGAATTACTGCAGTCACGAAAGCTTTAAGTCGTGATTATTGTTTGAGCTAAGTGGCCAGTGAAATTAGATGTGTGTGTGATTAGTATCTTGTGCCGAAAGATCTATGCGAGATGATTGGCGTTAATGTTACCGTGGTAATACAATGAATGTGAAAGGGTCATCCGTAATCATCCTCGTGGTCCGTCGCTGAGATTTGCTTCCGGCGACTGTTGGGGGTTTGTGAGTGGCGATGTCACACCCAGCGCGCACAGTCGTGGCCTGTGTTGTAACCTCGCACTAATTTGTGTGTGTGTGTGCGTGTGCGTTCAAGATAGGCATGATTTAAAACGAAATTCGAAGCTTTCGTGACCGCAGGAATTACTCTTTGGTTCTTTGGGTAAAGTCGCGTAGAAAAAAATTAAATAATAGAATACGACGTTTCGATTGCAACGCAAGCAACCATCATCAGGTACAAATGAATGATAAAATAAACCTAGTCAACTTGGCAATCTAATGCAATACAGCACAGAGAGTCGGCCAACACAACAGTCAACACCCCACCTGGTTGATTGCGTTCCTCCAAAGATTGCTCCTTGTCTCTGTTTTGTCTCTCTCTCAAATGTAACAATCTTTGGAGGAACGTAATCAACCAGGTGGGGTGTTGACTCTTGTGTTGGCCGACTCTCTGTGTTGTATTGCATTATATTTCTAAGTTTACCATGTTTGTTTTCTCATTCATTTGTACCTGATGATGGTTGCTTGAGTTGCAATCGAAACGTCGTATGCTATTTTTTTATTTTTTTTCTACGTGACTTTACCGAAAGAACCAAAGAGAAAAATGATTAACTTTAGTTACAGTTCATACATCATCATCACCATCGTCATGAGCAAAGACAAAGACCCCCCCCCGCCCCCGTATAGTCTTAACAGACTGCAGGGCCAAGTGCTGTTAGCGAGCAGCACCTATGAAGGCCGGCACGGTCTTCATAGGTGCATTGTGTGTGTCACTCACTATACTCGAGTTGGATTCCCGCTCACGGCCAACGCCAAGTGACGATTATCTGAACCGGTCCTGGGCCTCCGCTAGGTGGACTCGGCCTCAAACGAGTACCCGGTGCGGTGCTTAAAAGCATCGCCACTGGGGAGACAAAGGCGGCCGGGCGTGGTGCTTGCCCCCCACCCCCCCTCCTCGTGTGCCCGTGTCGGCCTTCATAGGTGGCACTCGCTAACGGCACTTGCCCCCAAAAGTCTTGAGTCTATACGCGGGACCTTTGTCTTTGGTTTAAAGCAGAAATTTCACATTGACCTATACCCTCCTGGACATTGCTGCTGCCGTCTCGCGCAAGGGTAGACGGTCATTTATATTCCCCCATTCGTGAACGCATTGAATTGTCTTGTTGTTGTTATGCTTGTGCCCCACCACTGCCAACACATTAACAAGCAGTAGCCGTCACCAGATTGATTTAAAAAAAAATTAAATATCTGTGGTGTGCGTGTGTGTCTTTGTGTGCAGGCCTCTGCGATAGAGATTGAGAAAGTTGTTGTGGTTGTTGAGAGAGAGCGAGTTAAGAGAGGAGGTGGAGGCGGCGAGGACTCGATCCGGTTGGCCATTATGAACCCGGCCGACTCGCCCGCTGTGCTCATCACGGACGCAGCGGGAGGGCGATCGTTCATCCGCGGGCGACTACTCGGCAAGGTGGGTCCATAGCATCACCATCCTCCCCCCAGCTGCCAACAGCATCTCTACAGCGTCTCGATAGCAGCGGCTCGCCCGTATAGATATCTGGTTCGTAGCGTGTCCGTATCGGCATCTCGCGTATACAGGGCGGCTGGTTCGTAGCATCTCCGTCGCATGCCATGGAGACGCTATGGAGACGCTATGCACCAGGTATTTCCGCGAGATGCTGTAAACTCCCAACTCCTTACCCTGTTGCCAACTCTGACCCCTGACCCCCTAAACCCTCGAACCTCATCCCCTAGCCCCAATTCTTCTCACCCCAATTCGTCTAAGCCCAACCTTGAGTTCCATCCCGTAGCCGGCACACCCGACCCGAACCCCGGAAGCCCTGATCCCCTAACGGGTGGGGGGCTTTGGGGTCATAGGGCAGAGCCGGAACTGCCGAGTGTCTGGGTTTCGAATCTGGGCCTCGCCTCCCGCCAGTGATTTTTTTTTTTTAGAAGGTTCTCAAGTGCAGCGAGTTGATGGTCTCGGGTCCATTACCAGTGACTGACGCAGGGACTCGTGGAGACCCCCCCCACCACCCCCCCCCCCCCCCCCCCCCGAGGCTTGAACGGAGTGGTTCTTAGCGCGCTGCGCTATGAACACAGCAACCCGAGTTCCATTCCCGCTTGCAACAAACATCGGGCGACGAATATCCGAAGGGGGTCCTGGGCCTCCTCTAGGTTGACTGGGCCTCTTCGATGCGGTTTGTGGACATTGGCACCAGGGAGACAAAGGCGGCCTGGCGTGGGTTTTTACCACCCCCTCGTCGTGCCTTGCCTCCGGGCCCTTCGCAGGTTGCGCCTCGCTAGCGGCACCTTGCCCCAGCAGCCTGTTGAAAGGCTACCTGGGGGATCTTTGTCTTTGTGTGTGTGTAGTGTTGCGGTTAGTGGTTAGTAAGGGGAACGGTGGTGTAGCGGTTAGCACGCTGCGCTACAAACCTGGCGACCCGGGTTCGATTCCCGCTCACGGTGAACACCAGTGACGATTATCTGAACCGGTCCTGGGCCCTCCCCTAGGTCGACTCGGCCTGAAATGAGTACCTGGTGCGGTGTGTAAACATCGCCGCTGTGGAGACAAAGGCGGCCGTGCGTGGTTGCTGGCCACCCCCCCACCCTCTCGTGCCTTCGTAGGCGCTCGCAAACAGCACTTGCTCCAACGGTCTGTTAAGGCTACACGACGGGGGCTGGGGGGTGGATCCTTTGCCTCTGTGTGAACGCAGGGCGGCTTTGCGCGGTGCTACGAGGCCACGGACACGGCCACGCATAAGGTTTACGCCATCAAGGTCATCCCGCACTCGCGCATCGCCAAGCCCTACCAGCGCGAAAAGGTGCGGCGAGCGTCGTCACTCGTCGTTGACTGTCGTCGTCGTTGACTGTCATCATCGTCACTCGTCGTCGTCGTTGACTGTCATCATCGTCACTCGTCGTCGTCACTGTCATCATCGTCACTCGTCGTCGTCGTCACTGTCATCATCGTCACTCGTCGTCGTCGTTGACTGTCATCATCGTCACTCGTCGTCGTCGTCACTGTCTCCGTCGTCGTCACTGGTCATTGCATTCGTGATCATCACCTCCATCGTATTCGTCGTTTTACCATTGCATCCTTAATGGGCTCACCACCTTTTGTGTTCATGATCATTGATAATTATCGGTGGCAGAGGGAAGAGGTGTTTATTTCGCGCGTAGAGCCGATTTGAGCCAAGGCGATTCTCTCTCTCGAGGGCATCCCCGGCCTGCTGACAACAAATTCCGTCTGTGCGTGGAGGCCTCTTGGGCCAGCAGGCGTGGCGATCGAGAGCAGTTGCAGGGGCTGCGCCTTTAACGCTTTTGTTCGGAGCTGACCGTCGGCTGTCGGGGCCTCCAAGCGCCATAAAGCGTGGGGCCTGCGATAAAAAAAAAAACCCCCCCCCCCCCCCCCCCCCAAAACTCTACTCTTTAAAATATTTCCCGTTTCCCCGATGTGCTTTGGGAAAGCGGTTTAAGAGGACTCTCTCTTACTCGCACGATCGAGCTTCATTTATAGTTACTCCTTAGACGGGAGGTGGGGGGGGGGGTTACACTGGACAATTATGTAACTCTTGTTAATGACATCTAAAGGACCAGGGGCCGATTACAGATGCACTGGAAAACCACGGAGAGCCGCGCTGAAAATAAATCCCCATCCCCCCACCGTTTCCTTGCCTCCGCCGTCTCCTGCCCCCCCCCCCACCGTCTCCCCCCACCCCCCCCGTCTCCTGCCCCCCCCCCCCCACTGTCTCCCCCCTCCCCCCCCCCCCATCGTTGTGGCAACCGGTTTGGCGGCGACTGTCCACGGAGATCACGGAAACGCGCGCACGACGAGTGAATGCGAATCCGGGAAGGGAAGGAAGGGAAGGACGGGGGGGGGGGGCGGGATGGAATCTGGACGGGAGGTCCCCCCACGCGAACAAAACGTGCCAGTTACTACCGTACACGTTTACAATTTGAGTACGACGTTTCGCTGGTGATTACAACCAACTTGGGTGGGTGAGTGAGTGTATGCGTTTAGTGGGTGAGTGAGTGTATGCGCGAGTGGGTGAGCGAGTGTATGCGCGAGTGGGTGAGTGAGTGTATGCGTTTAGTGGGTGAGTGAGTGTATGCGCGAGTGGGTGAGCGAGTGTATGCGTGAGTGGGTGAGCGAGTGGGTGAGCGAGTGTATGCGCGAGTGGGTGAGCGAGTGTGTGCGCGAGTGTGTGCGCGAGTGGGTGAGCGAGTGGGTGAGCGAGTGGGTGAGCGAGTGGGTGAGCGAGTGTATGCGTTTAGTGGGTGAGCGAGTGTATGCGCGAGTGGGTGAGCGACTAACTGACTGACTAATTGGTGGTCCAGGTCGAGCGCGAGGTGGAGCTGCACGGTACGCTGCGTCACCCCCACGTCGTCCGCTTCCACTGCCACTTCCAGGACGCGGAGAATGTCTACCTCCTGCTGGAGCACTGCAGCCGGCGGGTGAGCAGCACTGCCCGACAACTATCACCAAACCCACCGTCGCCGGCACCAAACCCACCACGACTAGCACCAAACCCACCACGACTAGCACCAAACCCACCGTGACTAGCACCAAACCCACCGTGACTAGCACCAAACCCACCGTGACTAGCACCAAACCTACCGTGACTAGCACCAAACCCACCGTGACTAGCACCAAACCCACCGTGATTAGCACCAAACCCACCGTGACTAGCACCAAACCCACCGTGACTAGCACCAAACCCACCGTGACTAGCACCAAACCCACCACAACTATCACCAAACCTACAGTGACTAGCACCAAACCTACCGTGACTATCACCAAATCCACCATGACTAGCACCAAACCCACCGTGACTAGCACCAAACCCACCGTGACTAGCACCAAACCCACCTTGACTAGCACCAAACCCACCGTGACTAGCACCAAACCCACCGTGACTAGCACCAAACCCACCGTGACTAGCACCAAACCCACCGTGACTAGCACCAAACCCACCGTGACTAGCACCAAACCTACCGTGACTAGCACCAAACCTACCGTGACTAGCACCAAACCCACCGTGACTAGCACCAAACCTACCGTGACTAGCACCAAACCCACCACGACTAGCACCAAACCCACCGTGATTAGCACCAAACCCACCACAACAAGCACCAAACCCACCACGACTTTCACCAAACTCACCGTCGCCGGCACCAAAGCCGGTGCGTGCAGGGCCTCCGCCGTGTCGATCCACGTGGCGCCGATCCCCAGGTTCCCAGCTACGAGCAAGCGCCACTCCCGACCCCCCCCCCCCCCCCGTAACCACCCTCGGGCCCCTTGCTGGAGCCCCCAGGATTCCCCACCACAGTCCTAGGAATGGGGTGTGGTGGCGGGAGGGGGGAGGGGGAGGGTGGTGAGAGGGAGGGAGGGGAGCCGGCGGTGGTGTTGTTGAAAGGGTGAAGTGCAGTGTGGGTATCTTGGGGGGGGGGGGGTGTGAGGGATGGAGGGGGGGGTTTCCACCGGGCTCGTGGGGGGAGCACCACTCGCGGCACGACCACCGTGCTTATTCCTCGCGGCTCTGGCGGCTCGAGGTGGGGGGCGGGGGGGGCTAGCTGCCAACACCGGTCTCTGACAAAGATCCCCCCCCCCCCCCGTAGCCTCAACAGACTGTTGGGGCAAGTTAGCAGCACTTACTAGGTGGCCAGCGCCTCGCCCGACCGCCTTTGTCTCCCTGGTGCCGATGTTTACACACCGCACCAGGTAGTCGTATAGCGCTGTGGGATGCAATTGGCATGAACTGCGCTCTATTAAATAAATAAAAATATTTGAGGCTGAGTCGACCTAGGGGCGCGCGGAGGGGGGGGGGGGAAGGCCCAGGACCGGTTCAGTTAATCGTAGTCGTTAGTCGTGAGCGGGAATCGATGTCGGGTCGCCGGGTTCGTAGCGGCCCTCCCGGTTGGTCTCCGTCCCGCAACGGCGATCGCCGCCGGCGTGAGTTACCGACGTGCGAGCAAAACCCCAAAACAACAACAACAACGGCCATGATCCATGAAGTGCCAGTGCAACATAGGCCCCCGGGGCACGTGGCGAGAGAGTGGGTGGATGTCGGTGGCCCGTACCACCACCCAGGGCTGCTTGTCGCTGGGGTTGTAGCGTACGGGGTGGAAAGCCAAGAACGGGCGAGCGATTTGTTTACCGTCTCCTCTACTTTACATTCCTGTCGTGTTTTTGCGTTGTTGTTGTTGTGACGTTCTGAACCCGTGCCCCCACTAGACATATGTGGGGGCAAAAACAAAAAAAAGCTTCATAGCTCCATCGGATCGCTCCGGTATGAAAAGATTCTGATTCTGATCCGTTGTAAAAATTCGTGGGTCGAATCTGGCGGGCCGCCCCGGTTATTACTCTCGTGCTTATTGACCGTAGAGAGAGAGGGAGAAACCCCCCCCCTCCCCCCACTTCTTCGCACGCCAGACTCTCAGCGCTTAACTGCAGAGTTGAGCAGCAGTTCAGCCCCCCTTCCCCCCCCTCCCCCCCCCCTCGTCGCATCCTCTCTTGCGATCGCGACCACCCCCACAGATCACGCAGAGCGACCGCGTGAGAGAACTCCCCTTCGATCGACGTGGCCGGTTCTCTCTGCTGGGGCGAGTCCGCCGATGACGTGACTTGGGCCCTTGTCACGTCGTCTCTACGGGAGATATCGCGAACCCCCCCACTCCCCCCCCCCCCCCCCACGTGTTACGGGGACCGGGCGGGGGTGGCCGGGCAAAGCCGTTGGTAGGGCGTGATGCTCGCACCGCGTCGGTTACCAAACCTCCGTCGTGGAATCCCCGTCGTCCTCGTGATACAAACCCCCTCCGGTCGCTCCCATCCCTCCCCCGGTGCAGTCGCTGGCCCACGTGATCAAGGCGCGGAAGTTCCTCACCGAGCCCGAGGTGCGCTACTTCCTGCAGCAGATCGTGGCGGGGCTCAAGTACCTCCACGCATGCGGAGTCGTGCACCGTGACATCAAGCTGGGTACCCAGCCACTCTCACCACCCACTCCAACCACCCTCTCAATCCACTCGCACCACCCACTCCAACCACCCTCTCAATCCACTCACACCACCCTCTCAATCCACTCGCACCACCCACTCCAACCACCCTCTCAATCCACTCACACCACCCACTCCAACCACCCTCTCAATCCACTCACACCACCCACTCCAACCACCCTCTCAATCCACTCACACCACCCACTCAACCACCCTCTCAATCCACACTCACCACCCTCTCCAACCACCCTCTCAATCCACTCACACCACCCACTCCAACCACCCTCTCAATCCACTCACACCACCCACTCCAACCACCCTCTCAATCCACTCTCACCACCCACTCCAACCACCCTCTCAATCCACTCACACCACCCACTCCAACCACCCTCTCAATCCACTCACACCATCCACCCACTCCAACCACCCTCTCAAGCCACTCTCACCACCCACTCCAACCACCCTCTCAATCCACTCACACCACCCACTCCAACTACCCTCTCAATCCACTCACACCACCCACTCCAACCACCCTCTCAATCCACTCACACCACCCACTCCAACCACCCTCTCAATCCACTCACACCACCCACTCCAACCACCCTCTCAATCCACTCACACCACCCACTCCAACCACCCTCTCAATCCACTCACACCACCCACTCCAACCACCCTCTCAATCCACTCACACCACCCACTCCAACCACCCTCTCAATCTACTCTCACCACCCACTCCAACCACCCTCTCAATCCACTCACACCACCCACTCCAACCACCCTCTCAATCCACTCTCACCACCCACTCCAACCACCCTCTCAATCCACTCTCACCACCCACTCCAACCACCCTCTCAATCCACTCTCACCACCCACTCCAACCACCCTCTCAATCCACTCTCACCACCCACTCCCACCACACACTCCAACCCACCCTCTCCACCCACTCACCACCCAGCCACTCTCACCACCCACTCCACACACACACAAAAAAAACAAAGATCCCCCGTATAGCCTTCACAGATTGTTGGTCCAAGTGCTGTTAGCGAGCGGCACCTATGAAAGCCGGCACGGCACACGAGGGGGTGGGTGGCCAGCATCCACGCTCGGCCGCCTTTGTCTCCCCAGTGGCGATGTTTACTGCACACCGCACTAGGTACTCATTTGAGGCTGAAGCGGGGGCAGGGATATTCGCGTGTGTACTTACGGGGGGGGGGGGGGGGGGGGGGGGGGCGGTGGCGCAACGGTTAGCACACTGCGCTACGAACCCGCCCCGTGGCCTGCACGTGTCCGCACGCGTGCCAGTGTGGACCGTGCGACCGTTGTTCATCTCGGCAGGGAATTTCTTCATCACGGAGCGGATGCAGCTGAAGATCGGAGACTTTGGGCTCGCGATGAGGCTCGGCGAGGGAGTGGAACAGAAGAGGTGCCAGACACCCCCCCCCCCCCCCCCACGCTTCACTCGCACCTCGTCCCTGACCGTGTGTCTCTATGGGTCTCTGTTTATCTATAGGTCTCTGTTGATTAGCATGGTTGGCTACGTACGGTGCACAATAAGTTCTACATACATTTCTATCGATGGTCTCTATGGGTCTCTATCAATATCGATGATTTCCATGGTTTTGGGTGGCCTGGCCATATTCGCACCACTGGCTGTGTCGTTAATTTCCCCTTCGTTTCGGTGGTAGTAGTGGTGGCGTTGACAGCGGCGAGATGTTAACTACCTCGCCTGATGTACAGGAGGTCGTGGGTTTGATCCCGACCCTGACGCCTGCTGTATATTTGGAGTTTGCGTGTCTCTATCATCATCATCACGGTGGCTAGGAGATGTTAACTACCTCGCCTGGCACACAGGAGGTCGTGGGTTTCATCCCGACCCTGTGACGCCTGCTGCTGCTGTATATTTGGAGTTTGCATGGTGGCTAGGAGATGTTAACTACCTCGCCTGGTATACAGGAGGGCGTGGGTTTGATCCCGACCCTGTGACGCCTGCTGCTGTATATTTGGAGTTTGCATGGATTCTTCTCCGGGTCCTCCAGTTTCTCCCTTCTCGTTTAGAATCGACGTCACGCGTTTAAGAGTTTACTTGGCTGCTCATTGTTTTTTTCGGTAAAGTCACGTATGTAGAAATACAATAAAATTATATTAAAATAAATCACGAAGTTTCGACTGCAACACAAGCGCTCTTCATCAGGTGTTAAAAACAAATAGGTGACATCAACGCAGCACATAGAGAGCGTTAAACTGCACGAAAAAAAAAACCACTGAGTAGTTTATGCAGTCACGAAAGCTTTAATTCTTTATTTGGCTGCTTTAAATTTCCACACGATGACGAGGAGCCACTTTAGCTGAGCTGTCATTTGTGATGGCCAGGTCGCTTGTGAAAGAAGAGCCGCATAGCTCGTGGGTGGGCCTTGCCTGGTAAAATAAAATAGAACCAGTTTAGTTTTTGACAGCGTGCAGCTCGGACACGGTTTACGGTACCACCGGTGTCCGCGAGGTGCAGAAGCGTTTTGTGGCCTCTGCCTCGGAGCCTCGTCGCGCCACGCGGCCTCGTGCACACCTACGTTGTCATCGTAATCGTTGTCGTCAACGTCGTCGTCGTGAACATCGTCGTCGTCTGTTGCAGGACGATCTGCGGGACTCCCAACTACCTCGCTCCGGAAGTTCTCAACAAGCAGGGCCACGGGCGCGAGGCCGACGTGTGGGCGTTTGGCTGCATTGTGTACGGCAACGCACGTGGCACACGCACGTGGCACACACGCACGTGGGACACATGACGTAGGTGCACGTGGCACACGCACGTGACGTACCTGGGGCACGCACGTGACGTACACGCACGTGGCATACACGCACGTGGTGCACGCACGTGACGTACGTGGGACACGCACGCACGTGACGTACACGCACGTGACGCACGTGGGACACATGACGTAGGTGCACGTGGCACACGCACGTGACGTACACGCACGTGGCACATGCGTGACGAATGCCGCGAGCGGAACCTTTAGCCCTTGCCCTGCTTGGCCCCCACCAACCCGAGCCAGATTCGGATGTCGCAGCCAGTCGAAAAACCAGCCGTACCGTGCTGACTCGGCTCTGATGTGCCAGATGGGACTGGGGGGGGGTGGTGTGGATTGAAAGTGGTATTAGGCCCTCGGTGGGGGGAACATATTTTTCCCATCCCTGCCGTAAATGTACGCAGTCGTCTGTTGTTGTAGCGATAAGTCGATGGACATTAACGGTCCGCGTTCTCTGGTTGGCCAGGTTTTAAAGCGGTGGTTGCAAGTCTCGGGCAGCGAGTCATCGGCAGGCGATGTTGAGCCCTTGCGGTCAATGGTGGCAAGCGGTGGTGCCGTGCCCCTTGTCCAAATCCCAGCGTGGCCTGGCTTAATTTAACCTCGACAAACATTCGCCCGTGGCTTGAACCTTGAACTCCCAACGGCTGACCCCGCCGCCGCGCCCCACTCTCCGTGACGAGCGGCCGCGCTCGCGAGGAATTCTGACGGCGGTCGTGCCTCGAATTCTGCGTTCACCACAACCCCTCGCCCCCCCTCCCCAATACCCACAATGTGCCCCCCCCCCTCCCCGTTGCCCCGCTCCCACAGCTACACACTGCTGGTGGGGCGCCCCCCGTTTCACGCGGGCGAGCTGCGCGACACGTACCGGAGCATCCGCGAGGCGCGCTACCCTCTGCCCGCGACGCTGGGGCACTCGGCGCGCTCGCTGCTCGGAGGCCTGCTGCGGCTGGCGCCCGGCGAGAGGCTGGGCCTCGACGGAGCCCTGCAGCACCCCTTCTTTACACAGGTGGCGAAGGGTTCCACCCAGCACCCACCCACCCTCCACCCACCCACCCACCACCACCCCTTCTTTACACAGGTGGCGAAGGGTTCCACCCAGCACCCACCCACCCACCCACCACCACCCACCCACCCACCACCACCCCTTCTTTACACAGGTGGCGAAGGGTTCCACCCAGCACCCACCCACCCACCCACCACCACCCACCCACCCACCACCACCCCTTCTTTACACAGGTGGCAAAGGGTTCCACCCAGCACCCCACCACCCACCCACCACCAACCCTTCTTTACACAGGTGGCGAAGGGTTCCACCCACCACCCACCCACCACCACCCCTTCTTTACACAGGTGGCAAAGGGTTCCACCCACCACCCTCCACCCACCACCCACCCACCCACCACCACCCACCCACCACCACCCCTTCTTTACACAGGTGGCGAAGGGTTCCACCCAGCACCCTCCACCCACCCACCCACCCACCACCCACACACCACCCACACACCACCCACCCACCACACACCCACCACACACCCACCACCACCCCTTCTTTACACAGGTGGCGAAGGGTTCCACCCACCACCCTCCACCCACCACCACCCACCCACCCACCACCACCCCCTATAGCCTTCGGCGGACTGTTAGGGGGCAAGCGCTGATGGCGAGCACCCAAACGAATTCCGGCACTGCGAACGATGGGGGTTGTGGTCGGCAACCACGCCCGGGGCCGCCTTTGTCTCTCCAGCGATGACATTTCACACACGGCACCCCGGGTGCTCGTGTAAGGCGGCGTGGATGTGTTCCGGATGCGTTACGTGGGTGGGTGGGGTGGGTGGGGTGGGGTGGGTGGGGTGGGTGGGGTGGGTGGGGTGGGTGGGGTGGGGGGGAGCAAAGATCCCCCGGGTAGCCTTAACAAGCTTTTGGGGCAAGTGCTGCTGGCGAGGGAGCAATTAACGACGGCCGGCACGGCACACGAGGTGGTTGGGTGGTGGCCACCACCACCACCGCCCCCCCCTTTGTCGTCTCCCCAGTGCCGATGTTTGACGCCCACCGCGCCAGGCGTTGAATCGACCTCGGGGGGGTGGTGGGGGGGGATGCCCAGGGGGACTTGGGCGCCGGTTGCCGCGGGCGACGCGAGGTCCGACTCCCGCCGGGTCCCTGGAGCAGCGCCGCCAAACCGCTCCCCCCCCCCCCCCCCCCCCCCCCCCCCCCCCCCCCTCCACTCCCCCCCCCCCCCCCCCGCTGGCGGACGCACGGACGGGAGACGGCTTCGCCTGTTTGCTCGTTAGCGCCTCGTCAGTCGCTAACAGTGGCCCTCCACGTGCGTCACTTGGTGTGGGAGGGTGGGAGGGTGGGGGAGGGTGGTGGGGGGGGGAGGGTGGTGGGGGGGTGGTGGGGGGGGAATTGCCTTTTCTCACCGAGAGGGGGGGGATCCCGTTTCATCACGCGGGGGTCTCCCCTGCCAAGGGGTGGTGGTGGTTTTGAGGGGGGCGTGCCGCCGGCAAACCAAACGCGGCCCCCCGTGCCCAGGACATCCCGTGCCAGATCCGGTGACTGCTGCGGGTTTTCATAACCCAGGTCGCCTCCCCCCACCCCCTACCTTCACCCACGCGGCGCTTCACGCTTCTGTCCTTTTGTGGGCAACCGGGCAGCAGTGGTGGCCACGCTGCTGCTGCTGCACACTGCTGCTGCTGCACTATGCTGCTGCTGGTGCTGCACACTGCTGCTGAACGCTGCTGCTGCACACTGCTGCTGAGCGCTGCTGCTGCTGCACGCTGCTGCTGCTGCTGCACACTGCTGCTGCTGCACACTGCTGCTGCTGCACGCTGCTGCACACTGCTGCTGCACACTGCTGCTGCACGCTGCTGCACGCTGCTGCTGCTGCACGCTGCTGCTGCTGCGCTCTGCTGCTGCACGCTGCTGCTGCACACTGCTGCCTGTAGTCCTCCAGCACTGTGGAGGCAGCAGCAGGGGTTGGTGGATCACCACGCACCGATGGGTTGGTGGGGGTGTACGAGCAAGAGCCAGAACTCCCGGCTCGCCAGGAGAATCCGTCGCAGGGAAAACAAAAAGTGGAACTCCACCTCGTTCGCTCCTCCTCGCGTTTCCTCCCGCTCGTTAGCGTTTCGCTAATTGGTCTGAAACGTTTTTTTAAAGAGCCACGCCGCCCACGTGGTGACCGTTCCCGCCCTCCCTTCCCTTCCTACCCCCCCCCCCCCCCCCCAGGGCTTCACGCCGGAGCGACTGTCCAGCAGCTGCTGCTACTGCCCCCCCGACTTCCCGCAGGAGCTGAGCCCCCCGCGGGCGCTGCTGGTGCGGGCGCGGGACCTCATCTTCGGCAGCGGTGGCAGCAGCGGCCGGGGCGACAAAGCGAGCCGCGACACGGCCCCCGCCGGTCGGTGTCACCGCAGAGTGGGGGAGGGGGGGGTGGGTGGAGGGGGGGCGCTGGGGTGGGATGTGGTGGGGGGGGGGGGAGGAGGTGCTGGAGGAAGTGGGGGGATGGGGCGTGGTGAGCGGTGGTTGTGGAGGGTTATAGGTGGTGATGTGTCTTGCAGTAACAGAGTTTTGGGGGGGTAGTGCAAGAGCCCATTATTTGGGGGGGGGGGGAGGGGGTATGTATAACAATAGAAGCCGTGCTCCAGCCACTGCTGGATGATCGGAGGGGCCTGACGTGTTCGTGGTTGGGGGGGGGGGGGGGTGGGGGACGACGTTCCACCAGCTGGGAGATGAGGAGTGGCGTCGTTGGCCGGGGCCGCCGCCGCCGCCGCCGCTGCTGCATCACACGGCGGCCGCTGGAGATGACGACGCTTTTGCGGTGGGATGGGGCCGGGGGGAGGGGTGGGCCGGCGAGGGGGGGGGGAGAGGCTTTTATACAGCAGTGGATAGATCACGGCCCTTATCGATGCGCGATGTTGCTGCCCCGAGACGTGAGCACGTGGTCACGCTGCTCCCCACCCCCCCCCCCCCCCCCCCCGCCGTGCAGATGTAAAGCAGCAGGACGAGTCCTTCTCCGAGGAGCTGGCGAGGAGAACGGCGCTGCTGCTGCGCGTCAAGGAGGTGAGGGATGAGCGGGGGGGGGGGTGAGCGAAGGAGGGGGGGGGTGGATGCGTCAGGTGATGAGGTGGATGGCCTCGGTGAGCATGGGGCTGGGTTGTTGAGTGCACAAGGTGGGGTGAGTGGATGAGTAGGTCAGCTTAAAAGAACCATACCCCTAGGGACCTTTTTGCCAGAATCCAAAATGATGAATAATAAGAATAGATTTTTACCCTTTCTGGCTGTAAAAGAGGTGTTAGGATGTTCAAACACCAACTAAAAACACCAAGTCTTCATTTGCCGCACGTACCCATGCCATGTTTATTTGCGTGTTCTGCCACAAGCACTGTGTGGTGTGGTTAATGCAGACTTTTGATGCCTTGTGAAAAGGTTTCAGTTTGGTGTTTTAACATCTTAACACGTGTTTTATTGCCAGAAAGGGCTTCAACGTGTGCATACGAGAATAGGTTTTCCCGTTTTTTTTCTGGCAACAAAACAGCTGCGTTAAGATGTTTAAAACACCAAACTGAAACCTTTTTTTACAAGGAATCACGTCACTGCATTAATCACAATACTTGTGGTCAGAATGCAAAAAAAAAGGTGCTCTGATAATATGATGCATTGTCTTTGAAACTGACTGGTCCACACCAGAGACGGTGCATCATCAGAGTTTTTACGTTTGCATTCTTTGTTTGACTAAAGGGGAAAACCATATTCTCGTATTTTTTGTTTGATAATAAACGCATGCATATGTTTCACCAATATAAAAAAAAAAACATTTTAAATCATTCATTGACTTGGGGGTGTTTCTGCACTTAATTTTGACCTCTGGAAGTCCCAACTCTGATGAGCGAGACATCGAGTTTGACCCGCATCGGCGGCGAACGTGATCGTCACGTGGCCACGCACGCGCACACGCGCGGGTGGTTTAGTGCTGCCCCCTGCTGTGGGCAGCCCGGAACGTCGCCCTTGAAGAAGGGGATCGATCTCGGCGGGAGCTCTGTGACCTCCGCTTCTAGGTGGGGGGCGGGGGGGGGAGGGGGGCCGGGCTTCCCCCCCCCGCCCCACAGAACTTTCTGAGATTTTTCACCCCCTTTTCCTCGTTCCGAGACAGTTTGCAAGATGCAGGGGGCGGGGGGTTGTGGTTGTTGTCGGGTCTTCCCGTTCGCCGCTGGGAATCTCGGAGCGTGCGGCTCGGCGTGAATTTGAATAAGATTGTGTAAGCAAATTTATTTATTTTATTTAGCGCCCCTGTTTTTTTTTTAAAGACGACGTTACTCCCCGCGGAGAACTCGAAGCGGCACAAACCGCCCGCGCTCTACGATAGCCGGCGCCGACGCTGTGCCAGGCGCCCTCCAGCTGAGCAAGCCTTTTGCTTCCGATGCCGCTCCGAATCGAACGACTGTGATTGGAGCGGAACCGGAGGGGGAAAGGTGATGGGGCGCGCGTGCCCGCACGTCGTCGGAACGTGAGGAAGGGTTCACCGATCGTTGGGTCGTTCGTGACGCCGATTTTTAGACTTCCGCGATTAACGGCGTCGGCGCGGTTATAATTTGCGCGGTTACTATTCCCCCCCCCCCACCGCCGCCGCCCCCGCGGTTAGGACGACACCGGGAGCAAGAAACCGCCGCTGTCGCCGGTCCCCACGTGGCTGCAGTGGAAGTGCCGCGCTCGACGCCGCGACTCGTGGGTGCGCGATGCCCCGGGCTTGCCGCAGCAATCCGGCACGGCCACCGCCACCTCGCCACGATCCGCCGCCGCCGCCGCCGCCGCCACAACAGACTCCCCAACCGCCGCCTCTCCACCGCGCGGCGGCGCCACCACCGCTGCCACCACCGCTGCCACCACCGCTGCCGCCACCGCTGCCACCACCACCGCTGCCACCACCACCGCTGCCGCCACCGCTGCCACCACCGCTGCCACCACCACCGCTGCCACCACCACCACGCCACCGTGGGCAAGCGCGAGCCAAGCGGGCGCCACCACGCCGACGACGCCGCCGCTGCCGCCGCCCCCTGGCACCGTGAGGATTCTGAGCGCGGCCGCGCCCCCCTCCACGGACTCGATAGGTGAGGAGGCTGGGGGCGGGGTCGGGGGGCTGGGGGGGTCGGGGGGCTGGGGGCTGCGGGGTGCTGGGGGTGGGGGTCGGGGTGCTGGGGGCGGGGTCGGGGGGGGGTCAGTGTATTTACACACGGGAGGCCCTTGGGCTCGCAAAGAAAAACAGTGGGGGGATAATTTACATTCTAAAGGCAGCCTGGGTCATAGGCGAATGATAAAAGGAAGGCCTAGAGCCTAGACTCACACAGGGGCAGGAGGTCGACAGCATGGACAGCGGAAGGGGGGGGGGGGGTAAGGAAATGAGTTCGAGACAGTGGGCGCAGCACAGGAGGAGGAGTGACCTCCCCACTGAGCTCCGAGTCAACTCTGGGTTTGATTTTCTCTGTGCATCGAAATTTTGTTCTCTGGGTTTATCTTGCACATGCGTAGAGTTTATGGGCGCTCGCGTGTGTGTGTGTGTGTTGCTCGCTCGGAGCCGGGTCTGGGCCTCCCCTACGTCTGCTCGGCCTCATTTGAGTACCCGGTGACAAAGGCGGCCGGGTGTGGTGATGGCCCAACCACCCCCTCGTGTGCTGTGCCGGCCTTCATAGGTGCTCGCTTAACAGCACTTGGCCCAACAGTCTGTTAAGGCTACAGTCTGTTAAGGCTACATGGGGGGGGGTCTTTGTTTTTGCACACTGGGTGGTAACGTTGGTGCTGAAAAAACTCCGTTACCAACCCGGTGACACGAGTTCAATTCCCAGCCGGTACTTTTTGTAAAATAGAAATTTCTCTCTATATATAAAATATATACACACACACGAATAAATAAAAAAAATACGCGGGTATTTCTAATATAAATATATATTTATGCATATGTTCAAATATTGTCATTATTCATGTAGTTGTATATATATATTTAACATTCCCAGATTTCATGGGAAATGACACACTGCTGAGCATCACCAACACCTTCCTGGAGCTGCTCAACCAGTGCCTGGAGTCCACGCAGATGGGTACGGTGCGTGTACCCTCTGCGGGGTTGCTCATGGCTGTGGTTGCTCATTTTGCTTGGCCACTGCTGGTGTGCTCGCTGCCGTTGCTCGTTGTCACTTGTTGCCCGCTGGTTGCTCGCCCTGCGGGTTGCTCCGTCGCGGATGATCGCGGTCGCTCTCTGCCGTCGCTCGCCCCGGTTCGTAGGCTTTGCTCGTTGTTGCTCGACCCCCCCCGCCCCCTGTTGCTCCGTCGCACTTGCTCTCTGCTGTCGCTTGTCACGGTTAGTTGCCGTTGCTCACCGCAGTTGCTCCGTCGCGCGGTTGCTCAGTGCCGCGCTGGGAGGAGGTGGCCGCGGCCGCGGCACCGCCGGGCGCCGAATCTCCGCCGCTGCTCTGGGCCGTCAAGTGGATCGACTACTCCAACAAGTACGGCTTCGGCTACCAGCTGTCGGACCGCAGCGTCGCCGTCCTCTTCAACGACGCCACGCACCTCCGCCAGCTGCACGACCGCCGGTGCAGCACCACCACCAGCAGCACCTACAGCACCACCACCAGCACCTACAGCACCACCAGCAGCAGCACCTACAGCACCACCAGCAGCACCTACAGCACCACCTACAGCACCTACAGCAGCACCTACAGCACCACCACCAGCACCACCAGCAGCACCTACAGCACCACCACCACCACCAGCAGCACCTACAGCACCACCACCAGCAGCACCTACAGCACCACCACCAGCAGCACCTACAGCACCACCACCAGCAGCACCTACAGCACCACCAGCACCAGCACCTACAGCACCACCACCAGCACCTACAGCACCACCAGCACCTACAGCACCACCACCAGCACCTACAGCACCACCACCATCAATCCTACAGCACCACCATCAATCCTACATCACCAGCACCTACAGCACCACCAGCACCTACAGCACCACCACCATCAATCCTACATCACCACCTCCACGACCACCACCATTCAATTTTGACTGAATTTGCGACCTCTGCTCGAGTGACCCCCGTGGTCTCGGCGTGACCCCCGTGGTCTCGGCGTGACCCCCGTGGTCTCGGCGTGACCCCCGTGGTCTCGGCGTGACCCTGTGGTCTCGGCGTGACCCTGTGGCCTGGGCGTGACCCTGTGGCCTGGGCGTGACCCTCGTGGCCTGGGCGTGACCCCCGTGGCCTGCGCGTGACCCCCGTGGCCTGCGCGTGACCCCCGTGCTTGCAGGACGATCCACGCGTGCGTGCGAGGGCGGCTCAGCGTGCTGCTGGAGCCCCCTGGCCCGGACGTCGCGGCACCGCTGTCGACGCACGCCAGCGTCCTGCGCTACCTCGCACGCTACATGCAGGACAACCTGGTGGAGGTGCGAGATTGTGTCTGTCCACTCCTGTGCGTCTGTCTACCCGTGTGCGCCCACCCGTCGCGGTTGCTCCGTGTCGTCTACCCCCTTGTGTGCGTACGTGTGTGTGTGCGTACGTGTGTGTGTGTGTGCGTCTACCTCTGTGTGTGCGTGCGTGCGTGTGTGTGTGTGTCTGCCTCTGTGTGGGCGTACCCGTGTGTGTGTGTGTCTGCCTCTGTGTGTGCGTACCCGTGTGTGTGTGTGTCTGCGTGCTGTGGGGAGTGGAAGGGCAACGGTTGGCGCGCTGCGCTACAAACCCGGCGACCCGAGTTTGATTCCCGCTCACGGCCAACGCCGGTGACGATGATCTCAATTGGTCCTGGGTCCTCCCCGAGGTCGACTCGGCCTCAAACGAGCACCGAGTGTGGCGTGCAGTAAACATCGCCACTGGGGAGACAAAGGCGGACGAGCGTGGTGCCGGCCACCCACCCCCTCGTGTGCCCACAGTGCCGGCTTTGGCAGGCGCTGCTCGTTGCTCGCGGCACTTCCCCCTCACGGTCCATCTAAGGCTGTCTTCGCTGTCCAGGGTGCTGACCTCCCGTCTCCCCCGAGCGAGCCCTCGGACGGCCCGGAGCCGGTGCTGCTCAAGTGGAAGAAGACCGACTCCGCCATCCTGCTGCTGTTCAGCCACCACGTCCTGCAGGTGGGAGGGTAGCCCGCCCCCCCCCCACCCCCCCCCCCCCCCGAACCTACAAGACCTGCCCAGCAAGGTGACAGTACAGCAAGTCGGTTGGCAGAGCCGGCTGGAGTAGCCGATGATTGATTGCAGGGGGTTTTCTTTCGAGCACCAAGCTAAAACTAAAACTATATTTATGTTATCAGGCAGGGTCCCCACTGGGCTATGTAGCTCTCTTTCGGAAGCAACCTGGCCACAAATGGATAGCTTGACGATGACGCGGCTTACCACGTGGACGTTTACAGCAGCCGAAATATTCTGAACGCCGCGTTTTTAAATCTGCACTCGAGGCACTCTGAGGTGCTGTCCGGTTGCCCTGCGTGAAAAGTGCCGGATTATCCTAGTAGCAAAAGTATCGTATGCTAGGGGCCCCACACTTTCACAGGCCCCGCGCTAAATGCTTTCAAGCTATCAATTCCGGTTCGGCGATTCTGCACTTGCTCTATGACTATAGTACTATAACGCCTTCGACTTTTATGAACGACTGGGTGTTAAAGGTTAGCGATTTGTCGTATTATCTGGCTGTATAGCAAATTAAAAAATACAATTCATTTACTATGCAAGTGAAAAATGGGTGTTCATATGTTTTAGAGTTTTTTTAAGGGCCCCTTTATAACATATGCTACAGGCGCCCCCCCCCCCCCAACCTAAACTAACTCGCTATTCCTACGAAGGTTTACAACGACCAGTACAGTATTCACGATTCATAATTGGTTTCCTTTCGGTTTGGGTGTGCTGTGTATTAATGCCAGATTTCATTTTTGAAATGTATATTACATTTTTTTTAATCAAAGCAATGTTGCGGGGCCCGATTTTACATCACACACATTGTCAACAAAAGCCAAAACCGGGTTATAAAAAGCATGGGGGGGGGTAGATGGGGAACAGGCTCCCTGCCCCCCAAACCATCTGGGGACCAACCAAAAGGCGAGAGGGCGAGACATTAAAAAAAAAAAGATGACAACCCTCTACCGCCAACCAGCGACCAGAAACGATTTGTCGCGTGAAGAGCGAATGGAGGGTGGTGAGTGTGGGTGCAATGGCCCTAACTCTACATTACATGCAACTGGACATCTGTGGAGCAAAAAATAGCTTCACAGCTCATCGGATTCCTCGGTTATAAATACATCTTCTGATTTTCTATAATAGAGTTTTTTTGGTAAATATATAAATGTGTCGCTAAAACTCGCCACCACCCGACAACTATAACATGCCAATTCGTGACGAGTGTTCTGCTTACATGACAACCCTTACTAGTTGTCCATGTCGGGTGGTGGCGGGTTTTAACGACACTTAGATATTTACGCGATCTATCCCAACAAAAAACCCTCTTATGGATGATATTGGTCGCGAAACCCGACGTGTTAAACATCCTGATTTTCTGCGTGCATCTTTTTGTGCCCTTCTCACCCCCCCACCACTACCCCCGCCCCCCTCCCCTATGACAGGTGAACTTCTTTGGCGACCACACGAAGGTGATGCTGAGTCGGCACGCGGGCGACCGGTGGCTCCTGACGTTCGTGAACGAGGAGCGTGCCGTGACGACGCGCCCGCTCGACTCGCTGCACGCGCACGGAGTCTCTCCCGCGCTGCGCTATCGCCTGCAGGTTGCTCGCAAACTCCTGCGGTAGCCACTTCGCCCGCCCATCTGCCTCGTGTCCTTGAGTGTGCGCCTGTTGGCCCGAGGCTGGCTCGCTCGCTCAAGTGATTTATCGGTGGTCACCGATTCCTGGATTCGTTTTGGAACGGTGTTCAATTTGGTCGTCAGTCCACTCGGCCACCATCGTTCAGCGACTGGATTAAGTCGTTATTGAAACGTTCATTGGCGTATTCATCAATTTTCTTTTGTGCCCATATTCGATTTGGTCGATTTTACCAATTTATTTATCAGCCAATTAATAATTTGTTTACTTGTCACGATGCTCCAGTAGCCAACACCAGATTGACGGCTGTCAGCCATCTCGTTGCCCAATTGATACGTTCCGCGACCGATTCACTCGTTCATTGATGCATTTTTTGTCCATTGATTTTGAATTTCGCATATCCATTCGTTCAGCGCCTTCATTGAGCGACTCGTCAATGTATCCGCTTACCGACTTATCCGTTCGTTCCCTGCGCGTAGATTTAAAAAAATCGTTTCTTCCGCTGGCCCGCTTATGACCGTTAATCCTGAGATTCGTTTTGTTTACGAATTATTCAAAGTGATATGCAAATGAGGGCCAGTTCCCTCGGTGGATGCTGCCGAGGACGGGGGGGGTGAGTGCGAGTCGCGTGATCTGTACCTCCCAGCGGAGCACCAGCTACTAGACGCTAGCATAGCAAGTAGGTTGGTAAACTAACTCCGCTTGTGGAGCTTTTCAGTGCAATCCCTGCACCAGAAATGCCCAGCTTCCCTCCCACACTTTTTTTTTAAAATAACACAAATATAACTTGACGAACATCATCCCCCATGGCGGGGTGGGGGGAACATTCTCTTGCAAAGGAGTCTTGAGATTCCCGAAAGGTTCCTGCCTTGCGTAGATACGACTTACAGTAGTTGCAGTTAACTTAAAAGCCAAAACAAATGCATTATTGTCAACACTATTTGTTATCACGTGCGGTATTAGATTATCCGGGCCAGTTTTGTTACAATTATTAAACTACACCGCAGGATTGTGGAAGGTGGTGGTGGTGGTGGTGGCGGCTTGGGGGGAGGCCTTAATCTTGCAGTGAATTGGCCATGACTATCGATGATGGTCATTTGAAAACTAATGCGAAAATAAATTTTAATTATATCTCGCAACCTAAACCAGCAGATCAATTGGAAGTGTGGCCGTCCCTCGCTCCAGCCCAGCCAGCCAGCCAAACTTGTAAGCCCTTTTAAAAGTTTCCTGTGATGGCAAATGCCTGTTGTAGGCCGTGTTCTCACAATGCATTGCGTGTTGTGCAAGGGGCGGGGGAGGGAGTCTGCAGCCATGTGGATGACTGTTGAAGTTGAATCTAATCGATTCATAGACTTGGGCTGCTCACGTTGACAACTCTTTAATCGAAGTTGTTTTAAACTTTGATTTAGAGAAGAAGGCCTCCTTTTGTGGCCTAGTCACGGCAAAGTCTGTTTGTACCAAACCTAGGGCCAACGCCAATTTTTTCACGCAGTAGCCATCAAGTTGAACACAAAATAGTCTGGGAGGTCGTGTAGGTAACCATTTTTCAAGATGTTGCACTTTGTTAAATGTCCTTTGGGTCTAAACGGGTCTTTTTTTTACACTTGATGATGAGAACCCTGTTACTGAAGGAGTTGTAGGCCTCAGGTGAAGCCTGTGTTGGAGGAGGGGGGGAGGGGGATAGTCTCCTGTGACTGCGGGGGGCTCTCTCCTTAGGGGGGCTGCCCACCTGTCCCTGGTTTTCCCAAGATTGTCCTCTTGTCGAGGTGGTCACACTGTTGTCCTTTTTTTTCTGCATCTGGTGACTCTTCCCGGGACATTAAAACGGCCTGGTTTTTGTCAGTTGTGCGACATCAACAACAACAATCCACCACTCAAGGCAACGCATTCACCTGTCGATCTCTCCCCTCGTTCCAGGTATTCGCACGGCATCCTTCCTCGTGCAATGTCCCGGATTTTCGTGACCTCAGGGTGGCAAAATCCAACCCTCCCCACCCCCCCCCCCCTTAGCTTCTTTCCCCCCTCCAACTGTCCCAAGCAGCCTTACAGACCCTTAGGCCTGCGTTTTAGGTTTGAATCCTCTCGTCCGTGCGAGTTCCCAACCTCCACCGTGTATCGTTTCGCCCGATCGCTGTTCTCCTCCAGAAGAAAGGCCCCTCGGGACTTGTCGCCTTTTTTAAAAAATGTCTGCCGTTTTGTCTTGTAACTCCGCCAGCGCGCTTGTGTTGACGTGCACGGCCCCCCACCCCGAACGCCACGACTCGCGCTCGGCAACGTTCTGAGGCCAAGCGGTGTCGACGGCAAAGCAAACGTCGCCAGCAACGCAAGAGCACCGTCTGCGACCTGGAAATTTGGGTGGCTGGAAAAGGAATAGGGGGGGGGGGCGGGGGGGGCAGACAGAGTTTCCCGGTTCTTTCATTCATTAATTCAATCACGAATCTTTTCGGTCTGTTTATTCACCACCCGGTAACTCGGTCAATGTAAGCTCTGCTTGTTGGAGAGCAAAATCTCTCGCTCTCTATGAAGGGCGGCTTTGCCTCTCCACGTGACCTCTGTCCGCGATCTGATTTCGACGTCGGCTCATCCCAAACTCTGTCACCGCCCAGGGAGGAGCGTGCGAGATGATGAGATTTGTCCGGACGTTTCCGGCGCCGACTGTGCCCCCACCCCCCATCCGTGAACCTTAGGGGACCCTGAGTTCCGTCGGTAGATTTTGTGGCGGCGGCAAGCGGCGGGGTGGGGGGGGTTCCTGTTGTGTGTGTGTGTGCCCTGCGTTGTAACGCAACACGCCCTTCCCGCGTGTTGGCGATTTGTGCACTAACCACTCCTTTGCGTGCCTTGTGTGGTTTGGGGGGGGGTCCAGTGTCTCCTTCACCCTTTGTGATGACGCGGTTGAAACGGTGGGGTGGGGGGAGGGGCAGACAGCGATGGCGCAGCGTTTGGGCGCACGTGCGCTACGTACCCGCTGTGGCGTCAGGGGCTGTGACGTCAGGGGCTGTGTGACGTTACGGGCCTAATGATCCTCAGCCCACCCCACCCCCGTACACCTATTGCATGGCTGTTCAGTGCATATCCTAATGGCCTTGTTTTTTTTAATACTAATGAAGGTCAACCTCAAGCAATGTTTACAGGGGCTGTGGAGCCCAACATTAGTGGCCCAGGCCCGCAGAGTATTTATTTGATAGGCGTGCGTGTCTGTGTGTTAGGCCGGAGCAGTGCTTGGCGCACTGCGCTACGAAACCCGGCGAGTTCAATTCTTGCTCACGGCCAACACCCGGTGATGGATTAGCTGAACCGGTACTGGTCCTCCCCTAGGTCGACTCCGCCTCAAATGAGTGCGGTGTGTAAACTTCGCCACCTGGGGGAGACAAAGGCGGTCGGGCGTGGTGCTGGCCACCCCACCCCCTCGTGCGCCGTGCAGGCCTTCGTAGGTGATGCTCGCGAAACAGCACTTGCCCCAAACAGTCTGTTAATGCTTGCTGTGGGGGATCTTTGTCGTTCGTGTCTTCCTGGAACACGAGTTTCTATCCCCGCTCTGTTCCGAAGGTCGGCGGTGAAAATATTTGGAACGGATTCATCCGCCTCCTCCTCCTCCTGTAGGTCGACTCTGCCTTAACCGGAGTTTTCCTGCACGGGCTCCGGTGTGTGAGCGCGTGGTAACGGTGAGAACTGGGGGAAGACAAAGGTTGACCGGTGGCGTGTGGTACCGGCCATGCCACCAGCCTCTGGGGCGCCGTGCCGGCTTCTATCGGTGCTCACTGACAACACTTTGCCCACAACCCCCCCCCCCCCCCAAATCGGTCGGGGGGTGGGGGGTGTGTATCTTTTGTCGTTTAAACAATATTATTACGGTTAAGTATGGGTTTACAGATGTGTGATTCTAGGGGTTTGGATGAAGCACTTTATTGCAAATGTGGCGTTAAGGTGACCTTTCGCCGACTTTTTGCCGACCTTTTGCCGACCTTTTGCCGACCTTTTGCCGACCTTTCGTCGACCTTTCTCCGACCGTGGATTTCCGGGCAGTCTCGTGCACCCGAACTCCGGTGTAATTTCGACAACAAAAACAATTGGCGACAAAAGTGCGTAAAATGTTTTTTTTTCCTTCGCGTGCGCGTAATTTATTTGCTTTTCGGGAATTTTATTTAATGCTGGGTGGGTGGGGAAGGGGGTGGGGGGGAGAGATTGTTTTTTTAAACACCAAAATGAAAACGTGCTGTGATTTTTTTAAGTGGTTGAAATAAAGGGGGTGCGTCTTTTCTTATCATATCCTCGCGTGCGCTTCTCTCGATTTTTCTTGCGAGCAACAAACACAAAACATTCGCCGTCGCGGAGACCCGCCGTCGCTTTCCTGACCACCGCAAAACGAACACAAATAAAACCCACCACCCGGCCACGTTTGGCCACAACTAAACGCCGTTTGTGGCCTTCAAAGGTGGGGGGTGGGGTGGGGGTGGGTGGGGGGGGTGGGAACACCGAATAAAATACAGCGAGTGCCTCGTTTAACGCGGTAGATCCGTTCCTCAAAATTATTATCCTGTGACTAATGTTAACGATGAAAGTTTGGCCGGAGACCCCGATGTGCTTACGGCTACGCTGCGCAGACGGCGGCGGCGGCGAGACGGCGAGACGGTGAGGCAAATCACCTGAGGGTCCACCGCCACGTTGCTGTATCATTCCGCGTACCGTGTCACTACCACTTGGCCGCGCAGCTTACGATCGTTCGCTGACCGCATCGTAACGGGGCGCACGTGCCGCGCTATAACGGGGACGCGTTCTGCGTTATGCGAAAAGTGTTCCCCCTTCTGGAAGAACCACGAAGGCAGTCGTTTAATAGCCCGCGTTGTGTGAACACGCCCAGTGAGGACTTGACGTGCAATTTACATTTAATACGATTGTGTTTATTTACCAGCGAAGGCCCACGGCTATTGGCTCGTTGGGAGGCGACCTGGCACCGCACGTGTTGAATAGCCCGTCGGCATCGCCACCACACAACGGACATTTATAGTGGCAACCAAATAACCTGAACGCGTCGTTTATATATTTGTTTTTCAACAAATGTGGGGGGAGGACAAAACCGAAGGAACCCGGAGAACAATCCACGTGACCATCACGAGGAGAGAACACGCGGGCTCCGAATATACAACAACAGGCATCGCCAGGGTTCGGGATCGAACTCCCCACGTGTTTCTGCGTAGCCGGAGTGAAGGCGATGTAACAACATCGGCAAGTGAAGCTTCTGTCTATGGCGCAATGATTCTTTTTTTTTCTTAACCCGGGGGGGATGCCAGATGCTCCTTCTGGGGGTGCTGCGAGACGTGGCCAGATTTTGTTTTTTGAAGATAAAGCATCTAAAACACAAATTAAGCATGTGCGCAACGTAATTTACAACTTGCTTTGTTTCATCAAGCCTCCTGTATTTATTAACATTGTACACACGAAGCAATTGGCGGGACCCCGTGGGGTCCCATCACTGCCCCGGGGTGGGAAAACCCGCGTATCGACACGAGTCTTGTTGCCTTACCGACAACAACAAAACTAGTGGTCAATCGATTGGCCTCGTCGAGAGCTACTCGGGGACACTAAGTTTCGTAAAAAGTTGAAAAAATTACATAAATTCTAGATTTACTTACACGCGTTAAATTCACCGCCTGGGGCCCGGGCGATGGGCTCGCCTTGGCAAAAAATCTGAGGATCAACGGCTGACCGGAGGGCGTCGGACGCCCCCCGGGGCTCGCGTTTGTCCGGTGGGGTGGTGCCCATCGTGTCGATCGCCGCCTGCTGCTGCTGCTGCTGCTGGCGCTTGTTGGCACGAGTCTGGGCGGGCGGCGCGTTGCTGTCGGGATCACGAGTGGGGCGGACTGAAACATAATAATTATTATTGACCCGATTTTTGCGGGACCCCGGGGTCCCGACAAATGATTCATATATTTATATATATATGAATCATGTATATGTGTATATATATTTATATATATAAAATTCGATTAAGAGCCAAAGGGGTGCCAAGCTGCAGTGAAGGTGAAGAACCACTGGCCTGACCAATGAAATCGGGTTTTACCCTTTTCTTGCAATAAAGAGGTCCCACGGTTATGGCTCTTCACTCCGAACCATGGATGCTCTGATACGCGTGGCATTGTCCGTGTACTGTTCGCCTTTTGGCGTCCTCTGGTCCGCCACTGGTGGTGAGGCTAGGCCATGAAGAAGCTAGCCGTCTATGGTGTAGAGACCAATCGGTTTCAAAGACGATGTATATATATTATCATCGGAGCACGTGTCGGATGCACGTTCACCCACAAGTACTGCGTGTGGCTAATGCGGACTGTTTTAGTGTCAGAAAGGGTAAAACCGATTACATTTTTTTTTTATACTTTGATCCTGCCAAAAATGTCCCCGCTATAAAGTCACTGGCTGACGGTGATAATCGGGTTCCGATTCACGACGTTTTGGGGCGTGTGTCGTTAAAGCGTGGACCGCCTGTACACCACCGCAGTGATTTAAAAATAAACTTGTCTGTAGACCGCATCGCCGTGTGTTGCAATCCAGCGTCTCCCCACGAGCACTTCCACTCTGCCGCATCCACCACCTGTATTTTATTATTGTGATTCCAGGGCCGCGTTCAACAGCTGTTCCTCGTGGTCACACTTACCCCCGCTGTAGAAGAAAAAAGTGTGTACAGGGACTCCTCTACCTATGAACTATTCAACTTAGGAACTTTTAGAGATACGAACAAACCTGTCCGTATATCCAGTTGCCTGTTCGGACCAAAATTCGTAAGTTCAACCGCAGTGCAATAGATGGCGGTGGTGGCATCTACATCTGCAGAACGTGAAGAACCAGTGTCATCTACATCTGTAGAGCGTGAAGAACCAGTGGCATCTACATCTGCAGAACGTGAAGAACCAGTGGCATCTACATCTGCAGAACGTGAAGAACCAGTAGCATCTACATCTGTAGAGCGTGAAGAACCAGTGACATCTACATCTGCAGAACGTGAAGAACTAGTGTCATCTACATCTGCAGAACGTGAAGAACCAGTGGCATCTACATCTGTAGAGCGTGAAGAACCAGTGGCATCTACATCTGCAGAGCGTGAAGAACCAGCGACATCTACATCTGCAGAGCGTGAAGAACCAGTGGCATCTACATCTACAGAACGTAAAAGACCAGTGGCATCTACATCTGCAAAGCGTGAAGAAGCAGTGGCATTTACATATACTGGAGATTATACAACTTTTAAAGCCATTCCCCGTGTTTAGTGTACATGCCGCACATGTTTGGAATCGAGAGGAGTAAAGTTGGACTTACGAACAGACATCTGGAATCTAACTCGTTCGGAAGTAGAGGAGTTTCTGTAATAGGCGACGTTTCGGGCAATGACTCTTCCTCCTAGCACATGGCTCGGGAGGCCAGAGAGATGGAGTGGATAACGCGAGTAGGAGACGGCATTTGACACCCGTGGGGGTCTGATAAGAATTACATTTTCGCCAACTTTCCTGATGGGCCGCCTTTTAAATTGACCCAGTTGCCTATCGTTAGCGGACATTGAGCAGTAACTTCTCAGCGTGTCTCCACATTCTCGTACTCAACCTCTGCCACATCTCCTCCACCACCATCCATCTCATCCACCAACCACCATCCATCTCATCCACCACCACCAACCACCATCCATCTCATCCACCACCACCAACCACCATTCATCTCATCCACAACCACCATCCATCTCATCCACCACCACCAACCACCATCCATCTCATCCACCACCACCAACCACCATACATCTCATCCACCACCACCACCAACCACCATCCATCTCATCCACCACCACCAACCACCAGTCATCTCATCCACCACCACCAACCACCATCCATCTCATCCACCACCACCAACCACCATTCATCTCATCCACCACCACCAACCACCATCCATCTCATCCACCACCACCAACCACCATCCATCTCATCCACCACCACCAACCACCATCCATCTCATCCACCACCACCAACCACCATTCATGTCATCCAACTCTCCCGGTCTGCAACTTGGCCTCACCCTTGCCCTCAACCTCTTACACCCCCCCCACCTCCATCAATCTCATTGACTCCCCCCCCACCTCCCGCCGGTCTCCAACTTGCCCGCAATCTCTTACACTCCACTTCCTTCATCCACTTCCTTCATCCACCTCCACCATTTTCATCCACCTCCCTCGGTCCGCAACTTTCCGTCCACCTCTCACACACTCCTTCCATCCCCTCCCCACCACCATCATCTCCTCCACCCCCTCTCCACCACCATCACCTCCTCCATCCCTTCCCACCACCATCACCTCCTCCATCCCCTCCCCACCACCATCACCTCCTCCATCCCCTCCCCACCACCATCACCTCCTCCATCCCCTCCCCACAACCATCACCTCCTCCATCCCCTCTCCCTCCCCACCACATCACCTCCTCCATCCACCATCCCCACCCACCCACCCCACTCCCCACCCACCCCACTCCCCACCACCATCACCTCCTCCACCCACCATCCCCACCCCCCCCCACCCACCACCTCACTCGTGGTAGAGGCCGTACACGGACGCGACGGCCACCACGTGGGCGGACGCGAAGGTGGCGCTGGCCGCTCCGTCCGTGCCCTCGGCCCAGAGGCACCGGCCGGCCACGCCGAGGCCCTGGCCCGCCGCGTCGGCCATCGCCACGCAGCACACGAGCTTGTGCCTGCCGAAGCCGAGCCCCTTCACGCGCTCCCTGATGGCCTCGGTGAGGGCGCGAGCCGTCCCCCCACACCTCGCCTGCTGGTAGCTCGCGTGGTGCAGGTGGCCGCTGAGGAGCTCCTCCACGACCCGGCGGACTTTGGCGGCCGAGAAGGCCGCTCCCGCCGCAGGGCCCAGGCGGTACGAATTCTCGCAGGGCTCCTGACGCCAGTCGCCCTGCGCCGGGGGCAACGGGAGGCCCGAGAAGCTCACGCGGCTCTGGGGCAGCAGCATCCACGATGCGACGGACAGCCGGCGTTGGTCCTGCTGCTGCTGCTGATGATGCTGCTGATGATGATGATGGTGGTGGAGGTTCATGGAGACCGATTCTCGCCGCGATGGCACCGACAGCTGCACCGAGCTGCGACGAGAGGGGCTGAGGCTCGGGGCTATGGCTGGAACCTGAAGCCGGTTGTGCTGCTGATGAGCTTGCTGCTGTTGCTCCAGCTGATGGTGCTGCTCCTGCTGATGATGCTGCTCCTGCTGCTCGACGTTGGTTTGTGCAGTGAGATGCGCTCTTGCAGCCATGGCCCTGCGTTTGTTGTTAAGAGGGACGCGATGTTGTTTTAATTTTAACCTCGCGGCGAACGCGAGCCGACGTTTCGGAGCGGCACCTGCCCCGCTTTCAGGACTGGTGACAGCTGTGGCGAAAGAGCAATGAGGCGCGAGTTAAGTAATAATAACAACAAGCAGACTAACAATAGCGGCAAGGATTCTATAAAAAATGTTTCTATAGAAAATCATTTCCCCCCTGTCCGCCCGTTCAAAATTGAAGAAACGGGAAAGCGTCCGAAAGAGTCGACACGGGCGACTGACGCTCACCTGGGCGGCAGCGGTGACAGGTGGAGAGAAAGCGGAGGGAGATGGGCAATGAGAGGTGGAGGGGAGAGAGAGAGGAGGTGGAGGAGAGGGCAAGAGGAGGAGGAGGAGGTGGAGGGGAGAGAGAGGAGGTGGAGGGGAGGGCAAGGGGCGGAGGGAGATGGGGAATGAGAGGAGGAGGTGGAGGGGAGAGAGAGAGGAGGTGGAGGAGAGGGCAAGAGGAGGAGGTGGAGGGGAAGAGAGAGGAGGTGGAGGAGAGGGCAAGAGGAGGAGGTGGAGGGGAAGAGAGAGGAGGTGGAGGGGAGGGCGAGGGGCGGAGGGAGATGGGGAATGAGAGGAGGTGGTAGAAGAGGCAGAGATGGGGAGGAGAGAAGCGAGAGAATGAGGAGGTGGGAGTAGGAGGGCGAGAATGAGAGAAGAGGTAGAGGGTGGAGCAGTGGAGGAGGAGAGTAGAATAGGGGTGGTGGTGGTGGTGGTGATCAGCAGGAGAGTGGGGAGGAGGAGGTGGGGAGGAGGAGAGTAGAATAGGAGAGGTGGTGGTGGTGATCAGCAGGAGAGTGGGGAGGAGGAGGTGGGGGGGAGGTGATGGGGAGCGGTGGCGCAGTGGTTAGCGCCGCGCTGTGCAACGAAACCCTGCGACCCGGATTCGATTCCCACTCACGACCGATACCAATGACGATTCTCTGAACCGGTCTCGGGCCCTCCCCTAGATCGACTCCGCCTCAAATGAGCACCAGCTGCTGTGTACAACATCGCCACTGGGGCGCGTGGGGGGGAGCTGAGCCGTGGTTCCTGACCCCCAACCCCCCTGGTGTGCCGTGCCGGCCTTCGTAGGTGCTGCTCGCTAACAGCCCTTGCCCCAACAGTCTGTTGAAGCCTACACGGGGGATCTTTGTCTGGTGGTGGTGGAGGTGGTGGAGGTGGTGCGCTGTGTAAGCGGATACCTCGCGTGGGGGGGGGGGTGAGGAGGAGGTGTCCCCACGTGCTCGCAGCGATCGCGTGGGGGGTGGGGGAGCGGTGGCGCAGCGGTTAGCGCGCTGCTGCTCGCGAACAGCACTTGCCCCAACAGTCCGTTGAGGCTATACGGGGGATCTTCATCTTTGAGTGTGTGTGTGTGCTACTGGCCAACCACCCACTGCCTCGTGTTCCGTGCCGGCCTTCATAGTGCCACTCGCTAACAGCACTTGCCCCAGCAGTCTGTTAGAGACTACACGGGGGATCTTTGTCTTTGTTTTCTTCATAGGCGCTGCTGCTGCCGCTCGTTAACAGCACTTGACACAACAGTCTGTTAGAGACTACACGGGGGATCTTTGTCTTTGTTTTCTTCATGGGCGCTGCTGCTGCTACCACTCGCTAACAGCACTTGCCCCAACATTCTGTTAGAGACTACACGGGGGATCTTTATCTTTGTTTTCTTCATAGGCGCTGCTGTTGCCACTCGCTAACAGCACTTGCCCCAACATTCTGTTAGAGACTACACGGGGATCTTTATCTTTGTTTTCTTCATAGGCGCTGCTGTTGCCACTCGCTAACAGCACTTGCCCCAACATTCCGTTGTCGGAGGCTACTCCGTGGGGTGGAAGCATTTGCCGAGCTCATCAGGTCGAACCTCGATTTGAAGCTTTCGTGACTGCAGGAATCAATTACTCTTTGGTTCTTTCGGTAAAGTCACCAAGTAGGTTAGGTAGAAACATAAAACAACAGGAAATAAAACAGATCACGGCGTTTGCGTTGCGATCGAAACGTCGCGATTCGTTAAATTGTACGTTATTTTGTGTTTTCTTTTATTTCGACCTCCGTGACTTTACCGACAGAACCGTGGAGAACTAATCAGGTGGTGGGCGTTTAAGGCGCGGCCGCTCCGGCGAAGCCCCCCTTACACAGACTGAACGTCGACAAAGGCGAGTGGGCGAGTTCACGCGCACAAGTCCACGGATCGAGTGACCCTTCAACAAAGACGAAGATCCTCACCCCCACACCCACCCACCCACCCCGTGTAGCCCCAGACACTCAGGCGGATGGGGCAAGTGCCGTCGGCGAGCAACGAGTTGAAGGGAGAGAGAACTGGGTGCTGTGGTCTGGACAAAACAACAACAGCCCACGCCCGGCCGTCTTTGTCTCCCCCCCCCCCCCCCCCCCCCCCCCCCCCACCCCCCCCCCCTCGCGGCGATGTTTAACACACCCGCGCCGGGCAGTCATTTAAGGCCGAGTCTACCTAGGGGAGGCACAGGACCGGTTCAAGTTTAATCGTCACCCTGGGTGTTGGTGGCCGTGAGCGAGCTGACCACCACGCCATGCAAAGACAAAGATCCCCCGTGTAGTCTTTAGCAGACGGTAGGGGCAAGTGCTGTTCGCGAGCACAATTACACGCACACGCAAACACAGACACACGACAAAGATCCCCCGTACAACCTTAGCAGACTGTTGGGGCAAGTGCTGTTAGCAAGCAGCACCTACGAAGGCCGGCACGGCACACGAGGGGGTGGGTGGCCAACACCACGCCCGGCCGCCTTTGTCTCCCCAGTGGCGATGTTAACACAACACGCCTAGGTACTCATTTGAGGCTGAGTCGACCTAGGGGAGACCCAGGACCGGTTCAGATAATCGTCGCTCACCCCACACACACTCACCCCCCACACACACTCACCCCCACACACACACTCACTCCCCACACACACTCACCCCCATACACACTCACTCCCACACACACCTCCACACACACTCACCCCACACACACTCACTCCACACACACCCCCACACACACACTCACCCCACATACACACTCACCCCACACACACCCCCACACACACACACTCACCCCACACACACACTCACCCCACACACACTCACCCCCCACACACTCACCCCACACGCACTCACCCCCACACACACTCACCCCACACACACTCACCCCCACACACACTCACCCCACATACACACTCACCCCCACACACACTCACCCCACACACACTCACCCCACACACACTCACTCCCACACACACCCCCACACACACTCACCCCACACGAACTCACCCCACACACACCCCCACACACACCCCCACACACACTCACCCCACACGAACTCGCCCCACACACACACTCACCCCCACACACTCACCCCACACACACTCACCCCAACACACACTCACCCCACACACACTCACCCCCACACACACTCACCCCACATACACACTCACCCCCACACACACTCACCCCACATACACACTCACCCCCACACACACTCACCCCACACACACTCACCCCACACACACTCACTCCCACACACACCCCCACACACACTCACCCCACACGAACTCACCCCACACACACACTCACCCCCCACACACCCCACACACACACTCACCCCACACACACTCACCCCCACACACTCACCCCACACACACCCCACACACACCCCCCACACACACTCACCCCCCACACACACTCACCCCCCACACCCACTCACCCCACACACACACTCACCCCACACACACTCACCCCACACAAACAAAAACAAGTGGCGGTGACGTCACCACGACGCTTGTGCCAGGCCATGTGCACCTTGAGGCCACGCGGAGTGTCGAACGCCCGCTGGCAGGAGGTCACCGGGCAGACCCAGGTGCCACGGGTCGACTGACTGAGATGACTGAGATGACTGGCTGATGCACCACCTGTGCCCCCTACTGTGCCAACCTGCTGTGCTTTAGCCACCCGGCGCTCCGCTCGTTGTTGTGAGCGTAGCTCCTCCGCCCCACACACACACTCACCCCACACACACTCACAGGAGGTCGTGGGTTCGATCCCGACCCTGACGCCTGCTGCTGTATATTTGAAGTCTGCGTGTCTTAGTTTGTTGTTAGTTTGTTGTTAGTTTGTTGTTAGTTTGTTGTTAGTTAGTTGTTAGTTTGTTGTTAGTTTGTTGTTAGTGTGTTGTTAGTTTGTTGTTAGTTTGTTGTTAGTTTGTTGTTAGTTTGTGTTAGTTAGTTGTTAGTTTGTTGTTAGTTTGTTGTTAGTTTGTTTTAGTTTGTTGTTAGTTTGTTGTTAGTTTGTTGTTAGTGTGTTGTTAGTGTGTTGTTAGTTTGTTGTTAGTTTGTTGTTAGTGTGTTGTTAGTTTGTTGTTAGTTTGTTGTTAGTTTGTTTTAGTGTGTTGTTAGTTTGTTGTTAGTTTGTTGTTAGTTTGTTGTTAGTTTGTTTTAGTTTGTTGTTAGTTTGTTGTTTGTTTGTTTTAGTTAGTTGTTAGTTTGTTGTTAGTTTGTTGTTAGTTTGTTGTTAGTTTGTTGTTAGTGTGTTGTTAGTGTGTTGTTAGTGTGATGTTAGTTTGTTGTTAGTTTGTTGTTAGTGTGTTGTTAGTGTGTTGTTAGTTTGTTGTTAGTGTGTTGTTAGTTTGTTGTTAGTTTGTTGTTAGTTAGTTTTAGTTTGTTGTTAGTTTGTTGTTAGTTTGTTGTTAGTTTGTTGTTAGTTAGTTGTTAGTTTGTTTTAGTTTGTTGTTAGTGTGTTGTTAGTTTGTTGTTAGTTTGTTGTTAGTGTGTTGTTAGTGTGTTGTTAGTTTGTTGTTAGTTTGTTGTTAGTGTGTTGTTAGTTTGTTGTTAGTTTGTTGTTATTTTGTTGTTAGTTTGTTGTTAGTTTGTTGTTAGTGTGTTGTTAGTTTGTTGTTAGTTTGTTGTTAGTTTGTTGTTAGTTTGTTTTAGTGTGTTGTTAGTTTGTTGTTAGTTTGTTGTTAGTTTGTTGTTAGTTTGTTTTAGTTTGTTGTTAGTTTGTTGTTAGTTTGTTGTTTGTTTGTTTGTTTTAGTTAGTTGTTAGTTTGTTTTTAGTTTGTTGTTAGTTAGTTGTTAGTTTGTTGTTAGTGTGTTGTTAGTTTGTTGTTAGTTTGTTGTTAGTGTGTTGTTAGTGTGTTGTTAGTGTGTTGTTAGTTTGTTGTTAGTGTGTTGTTAGTTTGTTGTTAGTTTGTTGTTAGTGTGTTGTTAGTGTGTTGTTAGTTTGTTGTTAGTGTGATGTTAGTTTGTTGTTAGTTTGTTGTTAGTGTGTTGTTAGTTTGTTGTTAGTTTGTTGTTAGTTTGTTGTTAGTTTGTTGTTAGTGTGTTGTTAGTTTGTTGTTAGTTTGTTGTTAGTGTGTTGTTAGTGTGTTGTTAGTTTGTTGTTAGTTTGTTGTTAGTGTGTTGTTAGTTTGTTGTTAGTTTGTTGTTAGTTTGTTTTAGTGTGTTGTTAGTTTGTTGTTAGTTTGTTGTTAGTTTGTTGTTAGTTTGTTTTAGTTTGTTGTTAGTTTGTTGTTTGTTTGTTTTAGTTAGTTGTTAGTTTGTTGTTAGTTTGTTGTTAGTTTGTTGTTAGTTTGTTGTTAGTGTGTTGTTAGTGTGTTGTTAGTGTGATGTTAGTTTGTTGTTAGTTTGTTGTTAGTGTGTTGTTAGTGTGTTGTTAGTTTGTTGTTAGTGTGTTGTTAGTTTGTTGTTAGTTTGTTGTTAGTTTGTTGTTAGTTAGTTTTAGTTTGTTGTTAGTTTGTTGTTAGTTTGTTGTTAGTTTGTTGTTAGTTAGTTGTTAGTTTGTTTTAGTTTGTTGTTAGTGTGTTGTTAGTTTGTTGTTAGTTTGTTGTTAGTGTGTTGTTAGTGTGTTGTTAGTTTGTTGTTAGTTTGTTGTTAGTGTGTTGTTAGTTTGTTGTTAGTTTGTTGTTATTTTGTTGTTAGTTTGTTGTTAGTTTGTTGTTAGTGTGTTGTTAGTTTGTTGTTAGTTTGTTGTTAGTTTGTTGTTAGTTTGTTGTTAGTTTGTTTTAGTGTGTTGTTAGTTTGTTGTTAGTTTGTTGTTAGTTTGTTTTAGTTTGTTGTTAGTTTGTTGTTAGTTTGTTGTTTGTTTGTTTGTTTTAGTTAGTTGTTAGTTTGTTTTTAGTTTGTTGTTAGTTAGTTGTTAGTTTGTTGTTAGTGTGTTGTTAGTTTGTTGTTAGTTTGTTGTTAGTGTGTTGTTAGTGTGTTGTTAGTGTGTTGTTAGTTTGTTGTTAGTGTGTTGTTAGTTTGTTGTTAGTTTGTTGTTAGTGTGTTGTTAGTGTGTTGTTAGTTTGTTGTTAGTGTGATGTTAGTTTGTTGTTAGTTTGTTGTTAGTGTGTTGTTAGTTTGTTGTTAGTTTGTTGTTAGTTTGTTGTTAGTTTGTTGTTAGTTTGTTTTAGTTTGTTGTTAGTTTGTTGTTAGTGTGTTGTTAGTTTGTTGTTAGTTTGTTGTTAGTTTGTTTTAGTGTGTTGTTAGTTTGTTGTTAATTTGTTGTTAGTTTGTTGTTAGTTTGTTGTTAGTTTGTTGTTAGTTTGTTGTTAGTTTGTTGTTTGTTTGTTGTTAGTTTGTTTTAGTTTGTTGTTAGTGTGTTGTTAGTTTGTTGTTAGTTTGTTGTTAGTTTGTTGTTAGTTTGTTGTTAGTTAGTTTGTTTTAGTTTGTTGTTAGTTTGTTGTTAGTTTGTTGTTAGTTTGTTGTTAGTGTGTTGTTAGTTTGTTTTAGTTTGTTTTAGTTAGTTGTTAGTTTGTTGTTAGTTTGTTGTTAGTTTGTTTTAGTTAGTTTGTTTTAGTTAGTTTGTTGTTAGTTAGTTGTTAGTTTGTTGTTAGTTTGTTGTTAGTTTGTTTTAGTTAGTTGTTAGTTTGTTGTTAGTTTGTTGTTAGTTTGTTTTAGTTAGTTTGTTTTAGTTAGTTTGTTGTTAGTTTGTTGTTAGTTTGTTGTTAGTTTGTTGTTAGTGTGTTGTTAGTTTGTTGTTAGTTAGTTGTTAGTTTGTTGTTAGTTTGTTGTTAGTGTGTTGTTAGTTTGTTGTTAGTATGTTGTTAGTTTGTTGTTAGTTTGTTGTTAGTTTGTTGTTAGTGTGTTTTAGTTTGTTGTTAGTGTGTTGTTAGTTTGTTGTTAGTTTGTTGTTAGTTTGTTCTTAGTGTGTTTTAGTTTGTTGTTAGTGTGTTGTTAGTGTGTTGTTAGTTTGTTGTTAGTTAGTTGTTTGTTGTTAGTGTGTTGTTAGTTTGTTGTTAGTGTGTTGTTAGTTTGTTGTTAGTTTGTTTTAGTGTGTTGTTAGTTTGTTGTTAGTGTGTTGTTAGTTTGTTGTTAGTTTGTTTTAGTGTGTTGTTAGTTTGTTGTTAGTGTGTTGTTAGTTTGTTGTTAGTTTGTTTTAGTGTGTTGTTAGTTTGTTTTAGTGTGTTGTTAGTTTGTTGTTAGTTTGTTGTTAGTTTGTTGTTAGTTAGTTGTTAGTTTGTTGTTAGTTTGTTGTTAGTGTGTTGTTAGTTTGTTGTTAGTTTGTTGTTAGTGTGTTGTTAGTTTGTTTTAGTGTGTTGTTAGTTTGTTGTTAGTTTGTTGTTAGTTTGTTGTTAGTTAGTTGTTAGTTTGTTGTTAGTTTGTTGTTAGTTTGTTGTTAGTGTGTTGTTAGTTTGTTGTTAGTTTGTTGTTAGTTTGTTGTTAGTGTGTTGTTAGTTTGTTGTTAGTTTGTTGTTAGTTTGTTGTTAGTTTGTTTCAGTTTGTTGTTAGTTTGTTTCAGTTTGTTGTTAGTGTGTTGTTAGTTTGTTGTTAGTTAGTTAGTTGTTAGTTAGTTGTTAGTTTGTTGTTAGTTAGTTGTTAGTTTGTTGTTAGTTTGTTGTTAGTTTGTTGTTAGTGTGTTGTTAGTTTGTTGTTAGTTTGTTGTTAGTTTGTTGTTAGTTTGTTGTTAGTGTGTTGTTAGTTTGTTGTTAGTGTGTTGTTAGTTTGTTGTTAGTTTGTTGTTAATGTGTTGTTAGTTTGTTGTTAGTTTGTTGTTAGTGTGTTGTTAGTGTGTTGTTAGTTTGTTGTTAGTTAGTTAGTTGTTAGTTAGTTGTTAGTTTGTTGTTAGTTAGTTGTTAGTTTGTTGTTAGTTTGTTGTTAGTTTGTTGTTAGTTTGTTGTTAGTTTGTTGTTAGTTTGTTGTTAGTTTGTTGTTAGTGTGTTGTTAGTTTGTTGTTAGTTTGTTGTTAGTTTGTTTTAGTGTGTTGTTAGTTTGTTGTTAGTGTGTTGTTAGTTTGTTGTTAGTTAGTTGTTAGTTTGTTGTTAGTTTGTTGTTAGTTTGTTGTTAGTTTGTTGTTAGTTTGTTGTTAGTTAGTTGTCGTTCCCTCCGCAACTCCGATCAGCGCGGTTGGCTCCCAGCGGTGCAAAAGAAGTTCAACGTAACTCGTTTAAACCATCACGTGTCTTGTCCTGTTATAAATCATCACGTGTCTTGTCCTGTTATAAATCATCACGTGTCTCGTCCTGTAACTCCTTTAAACCATCACGTGTCTTGTACTGTTTCTTAGTGTAGCGTTCTTACCCGCCCCGACTGGACACCTGTAAAAAAACACACACACAAAGAGCTTCATAGCTCATCGGATTCCTGCATTATCAATACATTTTCTGATTCTGATACGAACACATCTCACGAGAGGAGGGAAAGAGAGAGAGAGAGGGAGAGAGGGGAGGGAGGGAGATCCGTGTCACGACAATGAACAACTTTCACCTCCTATCAGGAGGCTGGAGACGCAAGGCGCTGGTAGTCGATGCTTGGGTCCCAGGCTGCAGCCGTGATGGTGAAGTATGGCCCACTCGCGTGTCGCCGCGAGAATGGTGTTGGTCTTGGCAAGCTCTTGGCATTTGTCTGCTGGCGGAATGCGTTTCCTAGGCTGCAAAAAATCTCCGGCAATGATTAACCTTAAACCTCCTCCCATGAGCGAGGTGCGGCTACGTACGGTGCGTAAGAAGTTCAGCACGCACACACACGGGTAGCCCTCGTCGATTCCACAGTATGGATGGACGAGTCTTCTTCACCCCTACGGCTAATGCTGCTGCAGATGAACTGCTCGAGTTTGACTTCGAGGTGGTTGGGCCGGATGATTGCGCCCGGAGGAGCGGAGCGGTGCATCGCTGATTGGACGTCTCCTTCTTCGTATAGGTCTCTGCGAATCTGTGGGTCTCTGTGAGAGTCTATGGGTCTCTGTGCGAGTCTATGGGTCTCTGTGAGAGTCTATGGGTCTCTGTGAGAGTCTATGGGTCTCTGTGAGAGTCTATGGGTCTCTGTGAGAGTCTATGGGTCTCTGTGTGAGTCTATGGGTCTCTGTGAGAGTCTATGGGTCTCTGTGCGAGTCTATGGGTCTCTGTGCGAGTCTATGGGTCTCTTTACGAGTCTATGGGTCTCTGTGTGAGTCTATGGGTCTCTGCGAGTCTATGGGTCTCTTTACGAGTCTATGGGTCTCTGTGTGAGTCTATGGGTCTCTGTGTGAGTCTATGAGTCTCTGTGTGAGTCTAGGATGGTCGTGGGGAACGGCAGTGCAGTGGTGAGCGCACAGTGTGACCAACCCGGCGACCCGAGTTTGATTCCAGCTCACGGCCATCATCAGTGTCGATTGTCTGGACCGGTCCTGGGGCTTCTCGTAGGTCTACTCAGCCCTTAAACGAGTACCTGGTGCGGTGTGTAACATCGCCACTGGGGAGACGGCTCGGGGTGGTGTGTGCTAGCCACACTCCCCCTTCGTGTGCCATGCTCGGCTTCATAGGTGCTCGCTAACACAGCACTTGCCCCAACAGCCTGTATGGGCTACACGGGGGATCTTTGTATTTATTTTGGTTTTGGTCCTGTATGGGGAATAATTCTGTTGACGCAACCGTGGACACTGCATATGTTCAGTAAAGTCACGTTGATTGAAAATCATAATAAAATAATGGATCCCTGCAGTCACGAAAGCTTCAAATCAAGACTGCTTATGTTGATTGAGGCTCTTGCTACTATCGCTTGCCGTAGTGGTGGTTGAATAGAGGAGGTGGTGGTTGGTGGTGGTGGCGGTGGTGGAGAAGAGAAGAGACGGACTGATCTGGTAACAGAAAGACGTGGAGCTGAGTGGACTTGCCGATGACCGCTACCAGCGGTGTCAAGATCGGCCTCTGCGGAGGAGGCTCGCGAAGGACGCGGAGGGCAGAGGAGCGACGCTCACAACAGCGAGCGGAGCGCCAGGCGGATAAAGGACAACAAGGGGGCAGTGTTGGTGCATCTATCGTAGGTCATCTCATTCGGTCAACCCATGGCCCCTGGGTCCGTCCCGTGACCTCCTGCCATCGGCGAGCCCTTGACACTTCACGTGGCCTCGGAGTGCACCGGTGATTGTGGCGAGTGACGCCTGTTGTTGTTGGTGGGTGGTGGTTGGTGGGTGGTGGTGGTGGTGGGTGGTGGGTGGTGGTGGGTGGGGAGTGGTGGTGGTAGTGGGTGGGGGGGGTTCGTAGTGGTAGTGGGTGGTGTTGTACACTCACGCCAGGTAGCTAGGCTTGACTTGTGAACGCACTTGGCTGGTCTCCCAAATCCGAAACTCGAGTGCCGTAACTCGAGTGCTGTAACTCGACTGCCGCAGGCGTTAATTCTTCCTCGGGGTGGGGGCGTTTCAGGGGGTGGGAGGGGGCTTTAGGGGGAGGGGGAGTTTGAGGGGGTGTGGGGGGGGGTTTAGGGGGGGTTTGAGGGGGTGGGGGGGCTGAGTGGGGGGGGGGGGGTCTATTCAAGGCCGGCGTTATCTCGACATTACGGGGCACATCAATCGGAGACCACGCGCGGTGTTTTCCCAGCCAATTTCTCGAGTCATAATCACGTGCCCGGTATGTCTGTGTAAAAAAATAAAAAAATACACACACTTTAATTATTTATTTTAGCGGGCAAGGCCCACCGAGCAATTTCGATTTTTTTTTTTATTCAGAAGCGACCACGTGGACATTTACAGGTTGCCCAAATACACTGGGCGCGTGGTTCTAAATAAGGAGGCACGCAAACTACAACTACACAACAGGCTTCTAGGGTCGGGATCGAACCCACGAACTGCTGTATACCTGGCGAGGTAGTTAACATCTCCTAGCCACACTTTAACTGATTTGGAGAGATACATCTCCTCTGCCAAACCACGAACGGCATTGCCCAGATACGAGGGCACCTCCACCAACTTGGCAACACCACCACTACCAACCCAAACACATGTCTAACTAAATCCATGTCTAACTAAGCCCATGTCTAACTAAACCCGTGTCTAACTAAACCCATGTCTAACTAAACCCGTGTCTAACTAAGCCCGTGTCTAACTAAACCCGTGTCTAACTAAACCCATGTCTAACTAAACCCATGTCTAACTAAGCCCATGTCTAACCAAACCCATGTCTAACTAAACCCTTGTCTAACTAAGCCCGTGTCTAACTAAATCCATGTGGAACTAAACCCATGTCTAACTAAGCCCGTGTCTAACTAAACCCGTGTCTAACTAAACCCATGTCTAACTAAACCCATGTCTAACTAAACCCATGTGGAACTAAACCCATGCCTAACTAAACCCATGTCTAACTAAACCCATGCCTAACTAAACCCATGTCTAACTAAACCCATTTCTAACTAAACCCGTGTCTAACTAAACCCATGTCTAACTAAACCCGTGTCTAACTAAACCCGTGTCTAACTAAACCCATGTCTAACTAAACCCATGTCTAACTAAACCCATGTCTAACTAAACCCATGCCTTACTAAGCCCATGTCTAACTAAACCCATGTCTAACTTAACGCGTGTCTAACTAAACCCATGTCTAACTAAACCCATGTCTAACTAAGCCCATGTCTAACTAAACCCGTGTCTAACTAAACCCGTATCTAACTAAACCCGTGTCTAACTAAACCCATGTGGAACTAAACCCATGTCTAACTAAACCCATGTCTAACTAAACCCATGTCTAACTAAACCCATGTCTAACTAAATAGTCCTATATATATACACACAGTCCTATATATACACACAGTCCTATATATATACACACACAACAACAACCGCCATTCACCACTAAGTGGCGGTGACGTCACCACGACGCTTGTGCCAGGCTATGTGCACCCTGAGGCCACGTGAAGTGTCGAACGCCCGCTGGCAGGAGGTCACGGGGCAGACCCAGGTGCCACGAGTTGACTGAGATGACTGGCTGATGCACCACCTGTGCCTCCTACTGTGGCAACCTGCTGTGCTTTAGCCACCCGGCGCTGTGCTTTAGTTATTTGGCGCTCCGCTCGTTGTTGTGAGCGTCGCTCCTCCGCCCTCCGTTGTTGTTGGAGGGCGACTACCTCCAACTGCCCAGTAACGTCCTTCAGGAGCCTCCTCCACAGAGGCCGATCTTGACACCGCTGGTACCGGTCATCGGCAAGTCCACTCAGCTCCACGTCCTCCTGTACCACATCACTCCATCTCTTCTCTAGCCCGTGCCGCGCCCGTTTAGCCCCCTCAATCCGGCCGAACAAAAGCTGTTTCGGCATGCGGTGGCTGGGCATGTGGGCTACATGACCCAGCCATCGCAGCCTTGCCCGCCGGAGGAGCTCACCGATGGGACCTTGCCCAGATCTTTCAAGGATTTGTGAGCTCCTCACACCAGTCTGGTTAAACCCAGGATGGATCGTAGGCAGGCCAGCCTAAATGTTTCTAACCGGCGAAGATGTTCCATTAGGGGGTCCACGTTTCGCAAGCGTAGAGAATGGAGGGAATGACTGTGGCCGAGAAGACCTGAAGCTTAGTGCGGAGCGACAGACCAGGTAGCTTCCACACAGCGTTACGCAACCGATGAAAAGATATTGCCGCTCGACTGATTCAGAGTGAGACCTCTACTGTCAAACCAGAGCCGATCATGAGCACACTGCCCAGGTATGGGAAACTCTCCACTCTCTCCACAACTGCCCCATCACCGATTGGGAGTTGTGGGGGTGGAGTGTCCGATGGTACAAAATACACAGGCAGGTGCTCAGTTTTGGTGGGGCTGATGGTAAGGCCCCACCTCTTAGTGGCACGCTCCAGTCTCATATATACACACACAGTCCTATATATATACACACACAGTCCTATATATACACACAGTCCTATATACACACAAGTCCTATATACACACAAGTCCTATATATACACAGTCCTATATATACACACAATCTTATATATATATATACATTTGAAGATGAAAACAAAACTTTAACAAACTCTGGGGGCACGTGCTGTTGTCGAGTATAACGGGCGGCACAGAGCACGAGGGGGTGGGTGGCCACCACCACGCCCGACCGCCTTTGTCTCCCCAGTGGCGATGTTTACACACCGCACCGGGTACTCATTTGAGGCTGAGTTGACCTAGGGGAGGCCCAAGACCGGTTCAGATAATCATACACCCACACCAGTACACTCGCCATTCGCCACTAATTGACGGTGACATCACCACGGTGCCTGTGCCAGGCTAGGTGCACCTTGAGGCTTCCACGTGAAGTGTCGAAGGCGCCGCTGCTGACAGGGGGTCTTGGGACAGACCCAGCAGGTGCCATGGGTCGGCCGACTGAGATGACCGGTAGATAAACTACCAGCTGTACCCCTACTGTGCCAGGCTAGGTGCAGGAGATCTTGGGACAGACCCTGCAGGTCCCATGATAGATGCACCACCAGCTGTACCCCTACTGTGCCAGGCTAGGTGTGGGAGATCTTGGGACAGATCCAGCAGGTGCCATGGGTTGGCCGAATGAGATGACCGGTAGATGCACCACCAGCTGTACCCCCCCACTGTGCCAGACTAGGTGCAGGAGATCTTGGGACAGACCCTGCAGGTGCCATGGGTTGGCCGAATGAGATGACCGGTAAATGCACCACCAGCTGTACCCCTACTGTGCCAGGCTAGGTGCAGGAGATCTTGGGACAGACCCTGCAGGTGCCATGGGTTGACCGACTGAGATGACCGGTAGATGCACCACCAGCTGTACCCCCCTACTCTGCCAACTTTATGCATTTTATCTGCCCGGCGCTCCGCTCGTT